GGGAAATAGAGTCCAGGACCAAGAGAAGAGAAATAAATTGTGTTCTGAGCAGAAGAAAAGAGAGTGACCTGGAAATTAATTCCAATAGCAGGAAGAGGCTGGGCTGTGCAATTTGGGGCTCATTGTTAGAGCCTGACAAGCCTGCCAGCAAGGGTGGATCCAGAGGAGAGAAGGAATGCTTGGAGAAAGGTATGAGATGCAGGATACAAGGTGGAAAAGAATTGAGTACGAGGGAGTGTGAAGGAATCCACTGATCTCTAATTTCATGACAAAATACATAGCAAGGTTTCCACTGAATTGGATCACAAATCAAATAAAAATAAAGAAATGTTGCAAAATAAAAGGAGGACAAAAAAGAAAAAAAATAAAGTGAAGAGTAACAAACAAGGCTGATACTTAACAAGGGAGAAAAAGTGATCCAGACTGCTTGGGCTCTGCCAGTCTGAGGTTAACAGTATCCAGTTAAAGAATAACACAACACACTGGCAGGAAATGGAAGATAGAATAAAGTTTATTATGTCGACTAACTTGACAGTTTAAAAAAATCCCTTTCTATAAAGCTATAGGCACTGCGTGGACTCCAGGGAAGCAGCTCTGAACCTTGGGACCAATTAGGAACTGTGGTAGATGTTGGGGCAGAAACAAACACAGGAATTCCACATGCGAAGGAGTGGTTAAGGTCAAGATGAAAGCAAAGACTGAGGAAAGGGAGCATATCAGGACACACAGGTTATTACTGAGGTACTTTGTGGATATTTTTACAAATTAATTTCCTAAAGGACTGGCACAAATATTAGGTGAAATCTGATGAAATCATTGTAGTGCCTTAACGATGTAGAGGAAAAGTAAAAGAATGCTGTACTGCTAAAAAAGGGCAAGAAAGTCACCAGAAGAGACACTGACCTACCTGCCTCTGCAAATGCAGCCCTGCCTGTACCGAGATGGGGAATTCTCACTAGGAGAGCACAAGTCTGCAACTGTTCCCGGTCACCCATCTTCGGGAGACGAAACACTAACAGCAGTACAGCAAAAAGAGCTACCATGGCATTAGGTGCAGGGACAGGCAGATTAGTAAGAAAATGCTGGAAAAACTTGTTTAGTCCTCCCTGTAATGGCTGAGAGGGAGATGATTGCAGTCTCCAAATACACCGTAGCGTGAACACCAAGGCAGGACGTGGGTGAGATAAATTACAACATCGGCACAGGAACAAATGTTTATTAACCAGCCGTGTATCAAATTAAGCTGGAAATGAGAAGATGATTCCTAACAATTAGAATAGTGAGTTCTGAAAACGCCTTCAAGACCAGATGAGCTCGAGTCAAGCCCCGGCTACTTTTTAGGATGCACATTAGAATGGCTGGTTCTCTGGGTTCAGTCCGGTGTCTCCGAATGTTCCCGGTGCCTGTTGCGGTGTCACGAGGGGGAAAAAAGCCCATGAGCTGCTGGTTTATGGACTTGTATGGGTCTCCCTCAAGCCATCACCACCACTCTCGAGCCAGCCCTCCGCACCGCACGCTGACCCGGTCCCAACCCGCATCCTTTCCCAGCCACTTTCCGCTTCACCGCTCAGCCCCGCAGGCAGAGCCCGCCCGGCTCCCTCAGCAGCCCCGGCCCCTCACGCGCCGCCGCGGAGGGCGTGGCCACGGAACGGGCGGGACGCCACAGGCGCGCCCATTGGCCCTGGCTCCTCTGGAGGTGGAGCTCTGCACTTTCTGCCAATCGGCAGCGATGAAGGGGCGGGGCTTCCCGCTTTAATGGCTGGGGCGGCCGTGGCGGCCGTAGAACGGGGCGCGGCTGGCGGTGAGTGAGGGTGGCTGTGGGGTGGAGGGTGCGGGACTTGTTCTTTTCTGGCGGGGGTGGGTTGGGGATGTCTGGTCTGTTCCAGCGGTCCTTTGGGATGTTTGCGGGAGGCGGGAAGTTTGGGTGGACGTGTCCGAGGTTCGTGGTGAGTCGAGGCTGGTTTGGGGTGTGCTGAGGGGGCTTCGGAAGGTGGCTGCAGAGCGGGACGAGGCCTTAGCAGGGTTCGACTATTTTGGGGAGGAGGTTAAGCTTTGCTGCCAGGAATGCTGGCTCCCCGAGGAAGCCATGTGCTGGCTTGGCACCTGTTAACCAGCCTGCTGGAGGCGGCTCGTGTATGTATATGTCCATGTTCCCGTCACCTGGGATGCTCATGGTCATGCAAGGAGGTGTGTGGTATCTCCTCACCTCAGGGGTGGAGGGGCGCGTTGGGAGAGGCAGTGGCCTGATGAGTGGGATGGATGTCGTGATACTGTGACGTGCCCTTGGCGGGTGATCACGCTGGGTGCGGCTGTAGAGGCTGTCACCCCATCGGAAAGGGGGGTACCCGCAGTACCGTGTGGCAAGTCCATAGATGTGTAAAGCTGCCTGTGTCAGACGGAGGGACGCAAGTGGAGTCCGAGTTGAGTTGTTGAAATGTTGTTTTATATTTTTTTTTTCTCAAAAGCAGCGGGGTCCTGGCTGCGTGAAGAGCTGCTTTGCTCCTTGGTTCACAGCCTGGTGCCGCTGCCCCAGCGCACCCATGGTGTCGGGGAAGGGTGCAATTCCCTTCCCGCAGTCAGCTGCTCTCCTTTGGGGCAGAGCCGGCCCCTCTGTGCGAGGCTGGGATGCCTGGCTGGCCGGCCGGCGTTAAGGACTGTCCTTCCGCGCTGTGTGCCGTGGCACAAACACTGGCCTTCCCCCCGCAGGTCTCTGCCAGAGGCCGCGCTGGGTCCCGGCCGTGACGGGGCTGCCTCCCCATTGCTGGCCGGTGGCCCGAGCCCAGGGTACGCCCGCTTCCCGGCTCAGGGACCGGTGGCTGCACAGCCTCAGGAACGAGATCGGCATCGCCTTGGTGGTGTTTTGGCGGGACTGTCCCAGCTCCACAGGCAGCGGATCACCCCTGCTGGCCCGCTGAAAGGTGGCTGAACCCCCACACGTCGTGGCGGCGGCGCGGGGCCTCTCTGGGCCAGCTGCGGCCCTTCCCGGCCGCGCAGGCCCCGCTGGGCCGCGGCCCCGCTTCCGGGCCCGTCCGCGCCACACCCGAGCCGGGCCGGGAACCGCCCGAGCGAGGGGAACCGGCGCTCCCTCCGGCGGCAGCGAGGCCGGGGCCTTTGCCAGAGGGACTCGCAGGGGTGGCAGCAGGGCTGAGCGGGGCGCTGCCCGGCTCTTGCTTGCCTTGGGCACCGGGCTGAGAGCTGCAGGTACGCTGAACAGCCCAGGGCTGTGGTCTCCTGCGCCTTCTCTGCAGCGGGGCGCGAGCAGCCCCCGGCGGCTGGGGAGCTTTCTTTTAACCAGATCTTGGCATCAATGTAACCATTCAGATGGCTCTTCCCTCCTCCTCCGGGCAGGGTGGCAGTACCAGGCCTCCCCCGCTGCTGCGACACAATGTCAGCTTTGAGTGCCGGCTCGTGTAGGTGCTTGGCCTCCCGCTGGCCCTAGCTCTGGAACGCGGTGGCAGGAGGAGGAGGTCACTGTCACCCCCCTGGTGGCAGCAGTTACCTGGCACTGGTATGGCCGTGAATAGGGGTCTGATCTTCCTCGACCACCGCGGGCTCAATAACCACTGACCGTACAGCGTCTGTAGATCTCTTTAGGTGGGCCAGTTATTCTGTTGTAACGAAGGGAAATCTAGGAAAGCTACTTATTTTTTAAGTTGTAACAGACTAAATGAGGCAGTGTACATAGACATTGCAAGAAGAGGCAAAGCTTTGGGAGCGGCAGTCTGTGCCTCGGCTGCTACCTGCAGAGGGTCTGTAGGTGCTTTCCGTGTGACTTGATTGTATTGGTTCTGAAGACCTAAAGGTAGGGAGGGAAAAGTGGGATGAATACCTCTTCCTATGCTCAATGGGCAGCATGGGATAACACTGGGTGCTTTACCTGCTAGTGCATTTCCTCAGAGCATCTCTTCCCCTCTTGAAAGCCAGGGTTGCCTGTGCAGCAGTGCATCCATCCTGCTGTGCTGTCCCAAATTGTCCACCTTCTCTTCTACCAGAATGCAGCCAGGGCAGATTCCTAGCCGGATGGAGCTGACCTTCCCACCAGACCTGCTGGGCAGCTTCTTGAGGATAGTTTAGAGTCAAACAGCTGGCTGAGCCCTTGGGGCTTGGCTGAGACTGCTGTGCCTTATCTCTTTCCTAGGAAGCCCCTCTAGCTCATGGGTGTGAGCTGCTGCTGACAGCCTATTCCTATGAGAAACAGCAAGATGCCAGCTGTTGCAGCATCTACTTGCTGCATCTTGCTGTGGGGATTAAGCTATGCCACCCACACCGTCTGGGTCTCTGTGGTCCTGCCTGATGTTGTGTTCTTATTTTTGTGTCCTGAAAGTCCATTGGTGGGGGGATTATGTGGTCTTTCAGGGAAGAAGTGTAATATGAGAGAAAGTAAAGTTAAAACTGAGACTTGGGAGTAAAAGCTCACTCTGACCTAGAGGTGTCTCATACTGTATGTTAGAGATAAAAAAATAAGGGAGCATATTGAAGTTGCATAGGGTCTCCTTTCTCTCCTGATGGAGAAAAGATTTGCATCCTGAGGAACCTCTGAAGCTGGTGTCAGAAGCAGATGCTTGACTGGACACTATCCTTGAATGTTCTAGGTGAATGCTTTCTCCTTTTCTGCTGGGGGTTGCAGCACAGTGAACACTCAGCCTGAGATGCTTACAAGGAACACTGGGAGTGGTGCCTGTGATGGCCCAAGAGATGCTCTGTGTTTCTGTGCTTCTTTTATTGGAGATCTGGTAGTGTGTGCCTTACTAGCTCTCAGATGGTGGGAGTACTTGTGCTGGAAAGTCTGGTTCTTGCCAGTTGAACAGGTGAGACAGCTTGGCTCTTCATAGGGAGGAGACAGTCCCCAGGAGCCAGGACTCTTCCCTGCAGGAGTTGTGGGGCTGCTATTGCTGAGATGACAAGTTGCTGGTGCCACAGCCTATTCCCCACCATCAGGCTGTTGTCTGCATTCTCAGCCTTTAGTGGCTTGAGGATGGAGGAGGTGGTAACTGGGTCTGATGTTTCTTGATTTCCCTTGGTGTGTCATAGGGTCAATTCTTCGTTCTGAGATGGATTGGGGTGGTGAGCTGTCACTAGCAGCAAGTGCTCCAGCTTTCTTGCAAAGAGTGCTCTTTCCCTATGGGTCAGATCAGCTGGCTTGCTCTGATAGTTTAAGGTTTGCTCTATACACACACAGATTTTGTAGCTCCTGCTGCTTCTAAACCTTAGGAGGCTTTCTGTGTCTGTACAGCAGTAGAAGCAAGTGCACTGACTTTGAGTGGTCAATCTGCACCTGTGTTGAGATAACCAGGCTTCATACTTCACTTTCTATGTGCTTGGAAGGCTGTGAACCTCCCTGAATGTGGTAGCCATTAAGCTTGGGTTCTAGGTGCATGTACTGTGTTACAGGAGTATGACATCTGCGTACTGTTGGAGAGCATCGTGCTCTCTTGTTAGAATATTGTGTGACTGCACTGCCTTCTTGGTGTGGAGGGTACAGGAACCAAAGCTGCTGTCATGGTAAGTTCCAGGCAGTGGCCCCTTGTCTTGTTGAGAAGTGACTCTGGGTTCACACCTAGGCTTCTTGAATAGTCAAAATAAAGCTGTTGGAGGGAATTTGTGAGTCTTTCCTTTCTGCATCTTGCTTTGTAAATTTTGATATCTTGATGCGCCTGTGTCTTGAAATCTTGTCTTCATGTGCCTGTCTAATTAAAGCACAGGCCTGAATTGGGCAGAGCACACTAATCATTACTGTGTTATGATTACAGCCAGAGCTGTGAGAACGGAGATGAAGCCTTGTATTGGGGCATTTGCATAGTGATTAAAACCAGAGATGAACGCTGTGGTGCAGCCTGTCCTGCCTCCAGACAGGGGTACTCTGTTTCTTTGCTAGGTGACTTTAGAAGGCTTGACCTGATTTTGGATGCAGGTGTTAGAAGCTGGTCTTGCTCAATATAGCCCTGCCTGCCCTCCTGTCACCTGCCTAGTTCTGTCCTTCCTGAGTGTGCTCTTTGCACTCTGGGGAGTGCTGGATGCCTTGAGAGAGGGAGCCCAGCCATCTCTACCTTCACCTGGTGCAATATGAGGGAGTGACACAGATCAATATGGTTAGCTCAGAAAGGAAATACCTTTTCCACTTTTGTTTGTATCTCACATTGTTTCTTTTCTTCCTTCGCTTATTTACTTCTTTGTTCCTTGCTGTGTCAGATTTTCTGCCTAATGTTGCCTTTCTGTTTTTTTTTTTTTTTTCCTCTGACTGCTCTCATCTTTACTGATACCAGTTCTCTTAATATGCAGCTACCAGCTTTGAATGTGATAAGGAGTAAACCTACTCTTTACAGCTTGGGGAGGTGCTGCCCTTGAAAAAAGTAGCTGTACATATTAAACCTCTTATTGCAGGGTATGCTCTTGCGGGACCTTGAAATCTGATTATCTGCCTTGATTTTTGTACAAGATTACCAATATCCTATTGCAATGAGTGTCCTCCTTTCCCTGAAAGCTTGTGAGGTGCCACACTGACTGTCAGTCAGAGCTTTCCTGCTAATCTGCGAGTCTCCTTGCTTTCCCTGCTCCAGTGAGTATGGGAAGTGAGGAGCTTAATCTGTTTGTAGGATGCTATCCCAAGGCCTCAGGCGTTTTACAGCCACTTTGTGAGAGAGTGGTATGGTATTAACACATGCTTGGTGAAGATGAGGAAACTGCTCAACTTCAGGCAGGACACTTCCTGCCACTTGGATCCAGTGTGCCAGGAGCATCAGCCAGCTAGTGTGATTCCCACAGCAATTGCAATGGCAACTCTTGCAAGAGTGGTTACATATCGTGACTTTGAGAGTTTGCATCCCTGATGTGAACACAAGCCTCCTGTACTGACTTCAGAATATGCTGGTGTAGAACATACAGTACCAAGTGTTGGCCATGTCCTTTGATACTCAGCATAAAGTAGGTGAGCCACAGGAAGTGACCAATGGATAGGATTCAAACAGAAAAACTTATCTGGTGGTGCTAGCATAAAGTTTCCTTGCAGTCTTTGTATTATATTGGGCTGAGTTCTGGGACTGGTTGTTCTCAAACTCCAAACAAAGTTTGTCCCAAATCCTCAGGGTTGAGGTGCCAGGCTAGCAGAACTCTTTATTGCTCTGCCCTAATCTGTTGGTATGGCTTTCCACACTTCAAACATAGAAGCTCTAGTAGTCCTGCCAGACTTGTCTTCTGTGGCTGGTGAGCTGGTGACAGGCATGTTTTTAGACTAATTTCTTTTGAGAAAAAACATGACTTTAGAAGCATGTGGACAATGCTGTCTTCAGTGAATGACTGAAATTATTAGCAGGAATGCAAGTGGACTCGAATACAGACAGCTCTCTTCTTGAGTGGCCTCTGCTGCATGTGTTTGAGCTGGTGTTAGGAGATGCTGTGTGTGCAAGAAGTGTGTACTGCCTGGTTACAAGCCCCTCTCTCTGGGCACAGAGCACCAGACAGAAGAGATCGAAATTCAGTTTTCTGTGTTTCACTGTACACTTCAGTCTTAGAGTGATCCCACTGCAGAGTTGATAAAAAACAGGGCTTGCAGCTTATGGCTGGCTGGGTTCCTTTTCCCTTGTCTTGCTCTGGCTGCCTTGCTGCCTATGTGTTGTTTGGGGCAGATAAAGTTTCATGTTCCTCATCTTGCTGAATTCACTTGTATATATAAGCTCAGGAAAGCTTCTGGAGCTGTGACTGTCAGCTCTTGGTAGCGATGTTTTGTGGTGCCAGCCTTGTATGTGCAGTACATACCCCTGTCTGTGCCTGGCCTGAGCCTGGCTTGATTAGTTCCACTCTTCTACAGGGAAATATAGTCCATGGGCATGTGGGGCTGTGTGCAGGCCTTCCTGGACCCCACAGTGACTTTTTGGAGCTCCAGGCAACTGGGCAGGTTCTATGGTGGGGAGCTGGAGGAGGGAGTTGCCTCTTTCTAAGAGGTGGTAGAGCTCAAAGCTACATCAGGCAGCAAGCTTTGGTGCCAGCTTGTTGGTCAGGGATGTGAGTTAGTTTCACATCTGGCCAACTGATTATCTCCTGACCTTTGAGGGCTGCTACTCCCTGGGAAGCTCCACAGGGGCCAGGCCTGCTTTAGCCAGTTCAGCAAGGGCACTGTGCCAGCTCTCCCTGGGGTGGCAGTTCTGTGGCCACCTACCAGATGGTTTTGGTGCTGCCTTTAATTAAACTAGTGGGGAGATGAGGGTGTTTGCTTTTGCACTTATTACAGGACTGATTTCTGACCTGAATGCTGAGGAGTAGGAGTGTTCAATGTCTGGGGCAGAGTCTGTTGCTTGCAGATAGTTGTTGTGAGGGGAGATGTATACCCTGCAAGGCTGTTAAAAAAAGCTAACTGGGTTGAGCTCTGGTCTCTGTCAGTATCATAGTTCTAACTGCTGTGGTCTGACTGGGGCTGGTCATAAAAGGCCTTGCTGTTGTTGCTGAAGTTGCACTAATTAGCTGTGTAGCTTGCTGGAAATATGCAGTGTACACATTGCTTGGTGTAAGCAAGTATTTAATCCTTGATGTTAGTTACTGGAGCAGATTGTGGCCTGATACTTTAGTTTGCAAATAGTGGGAACTTTTTCTCTGACATGGGGAAGTGACTCCCTGTTGCTGAGAGATAGAAGGAGGTGTGTTGCAAGGTTTCTCTGTATCATGCAGGGTGTGTTTGGGCCCCTAGGGTTCCTGCTCATTTGGGATGCTTGGGACTATTTGTTTGGTTTCTCTTCAGCTGTTCAAGGCTCAGCTTTGGATTCCTCATCTCCTCCCAACTCTTTGCCTAAGAAGGTCAGTATTTAGGAGGAGTCAGGGGAAAGTAAGTGTCCCCCATGTGCAGAGAGGACAGATCCAACCACTGAGCTGTGAACACCTGCAGTTGTGTGATGTGCGGTGTAGTGTGGAGTGCAGTAAGAGCTGATGCCTGTCTGGATGGTGAACCCCTCTCGAAGTGCAGAGGGGTGTTGTGCACAGAGGAGAGTTCAGGTTCCTGGACAGTTGGTGCTCTGTGCTGGAAAACCCCTGCCTGCAGCTGAAAGGCTGGCATGGAGCAGTTGTGGTTTAGGAGGCCAGTGCACTTCACATCCCCCTGCCTAGTGAAGGTAACTCCTGGACCTGCCCTGCAACTCCCACTTTGCTGCTCAACTGTCAACACCCCAAGGCCAGTGTCTGCCCCTTGAGGGACAGAGGAGGGCAAGACAGACCTGTATCTGCTTACTGAGCAAGGCATACTTTGGCTTCTTTGATGCAGGATGATGTAGCATGCCAGTGTGAATAGATGCTAGGTCTTGCAAAGACCTGAAGACTTCACGGACTTCCCTGGAAATGTGGTTGCTCTGTTAGTTTAATTTGGCAGGATGTTGTTCTGCCTAGAGAAACTGAGGAACACTTATAGGTCTTTTCTGTTAAGGCATGTAGCATAACTCTACTGTTTCTGTCCTGGTAGAAGTCTTGATCCTTGCCCAAAGCCTATGTCCAGGACAAGTCCAATGCCTCCCAACTTCCTTTGGCATGTGTTTGTAGGAGTGTTGGATGTGCTTCACAAAACAACAATAAGAGGGACTTGTTACTCTTCACACTGCTAGGGACTTCTGTGCTAGTCCTGGTTTGAAATGGGCTTCTCCCACCACTGGGGGGAATAATTGTCATGGACCCTGAATTGTTTTGAGCTGGGGTCCTAGTTGGCCAGTGGTACTGCAGGCTTTGGCACAGGGTCAATGAAGTGATCCACAGTGCATGAGCTGAAGTGTTTTGCTGCAGTGTGAGATGTAGCTTTGAGCTCAAAGACAGCTGATACTCTCTTCTCATCCTAGCCTGCCCAAAACAGGCAAGTACTCAGCAGGATTTTTGTCTTTGCCCTGGACCTGTAGTAAGGCTGACTCATTCACCTTGATAAGATAAACACAGACCTTGAATAGTCAGGTGCCTCTGCTGGGAGCTGACTCTTGAGGGCTCCTCAAGCTAGCAAATAAAGGTGTAGCTGGATGTAGTGGTTGAAAGCTGAAACTAGACAGACAAGTTTGGAGCTTGCTCTTAGCCATTAAAGCAACATAAAGCTCAGCAGCTTTCCAGACTTGTACTTACTCTATTTCCCACAGCTGAGTCTTGAGTATCTCTTAAAGATGCAGTAGTTCCTGCTTCACTTCTAGCTGACTTTTACTGCATGTGGAGAGTGGATTATCCTGGCAGTGCCCAGAATATTACTGGCATCACGGTGATACTACAAGTGAGTATTACTTGCTATTAAACCCTTTGAGATCTTGGGTTTGGAGGGTGAACATCTATTTTGCTGCTGAAGTGCTCCTGATGTGTGTGGGGATCACTCCTAAGAGGGCTTTGCCCTATTGCTCCATCTGCCTCCAAGATGGCACAAGGAGCCACCTTCTGTGCTTTCTGAAACACAGCAAAATTTCTTGGGCTCTGTCCTTGGGCTGCATGGCTGTGCAGGCTGCTCTGAAGCCTTACTTGGTGGAATGGGTCTTTTGGAGGATTGAGGTGAAGGAGGAGACCTTCCTGCCTGCTGCCCTTGCAGAGAGGTTAGGTGGCACTCCCCAGTCTGGAGGAATGCAGAGGGTATGACTGGGCAGGCACAGAGCCAGCTCTGCTGCTGCACCAAACTGATTTGCAGGGAATGGTGAGCCAGAAGGGTGTATGCCAGGCCCCCCTGAAGATTACTGCTGGCAAAGCCTGCCGTGGAGGTGCCTGGTAGCTCTGCACAGGAGGTGTCTGCTGCCATCCTGCCTACAGCAAAGATGACATTGAGTTCTTCCTCTTGCTGTGAAGCTGAAGGAGCAGTGCTGGTGTTGGCTGGTGAGGGCTTGAAGTGGCAGTGGCTGCTGAGTACTCAGGGACTTTACTGGGAAGAAGGGTACTCTGTCTTCAGCCTCCTGGCTGCTGGTCTGGAGGAGGCCATGTGCTTCCTGCTGGTGGCAGCAATATGCCTCCTGGGGAGACTGGGCTGGGGACCCATTTCCCCAGGCATGTGTGGGCAGTGACTCCTGTGCACCTTCTTGGAGAAAAGGGGTGGGTGGAGTGTCTGGGAGCAGCTGTGGGGAATGCCTCCCTCGCAGATGGATGAGTCAGGTGAGGCTGGGCCTATGCTCTGCCTCCCTTCTTGCTGCTCTGGTGTCCTGTGGGCTGGGGAGAGGTTGGGGTGGGTGAGGGTGTTTCAAACTTGCCTGCAGCAGTAAGAGCTTAGGCCCTTCCTGCTTTTCTGGAGAGCGTTTTCCCAGATCACTTTCTGGTGTGTGTTCACACTGAGGTTGAGTAAATGTGGGAAGTGTCAGTCCTTCTCCCTGCAGCCTTACATCTTATGGCTTTCTCTTGTCCTGAAGGGGAGTGGAAATGCCATTGCTGACCAGGATGCACCTAGCCTCTGAGCCAGGTTATGTGGTAGTAGTTTCTTGTCTTGAGGGTTTTGTGCAAGGATGTGAAACCAGGAACTTTCACACCAGAAACCAATGTTTGTTTCTGAACCTATGGATTTCCTTCCTCATGTAATGGGCCTGCCAGTGATGGTGTGCTGCTTCTGTGGTGGGAATCAGTTGGCAGGAGACCAAAGCTGATCATTAAAGTCACTGTGCTGTGGAGAGTGTGGGCCAGCCCTGCATCTCTGCACCTGGGTTAGAGCTCTGTGCTGAGTAGCTATGGCTGCCAATGCTAGTGACAATATCCTGGTGCTTGTGGATAATAATACTTGAGCTTGTACAGCAGAAGCAAGATTAAGGGGCTGGAGATACAGTGCTGAGGTTGGAAGCTTTCCTAGCTGGCTTGTAATGTTGGGTTCTTGCCTTGGAAGGATTGCTGGCATTGGATGATGGGGCTCCCAGCAGAGCTGGGTGAATAGGGCCAGGCTCTGTGACAAGTGAGGAGATCTGTAGCTCAGCTGGAAAGTGGATGCTGGTGTGTGATCAATGGAAAGCAACACTGGCCAGATACATGAATGTTTGTCTGAAACTGGGCTTGGAGTTTGTTGATCTGCAGGGCTATATAGGCTGCCCTCGTGGGCAAACAGCTGCTTAATTTTCTCTGCCTCTTTCCACAGGGATACTGCCACCACCATGGAGGGGATTGTGATGATGTATCAGGACTTCATGAAGAAAGCAGGTGAGTGTTTGGCTTGACTCTGCCCAGATATCAGGCAGGTAGCACTACAGGCTTTACTGCCAGAGGCACTGGGGAGTGGTCTGTCACCCCTGAAGCATCCCTGGGTCTAATTGCATCCTGTCTTTGCCCTTACACAGGTGCAGCTCTGGGGTTTTTGTGCTGCCTGTTATGACGCTGTCTTGCCTCAGTGCCTGTGCAAATAATTTTGGGGCACTTGTGCTCTCCTGGGCAGATCTCCAGGCTGCCCTACAGCATGGCTTCAGGCTATACTGTGCTGAGTCTGGCTGACTTCACCAGCCTCGGCTCCCAGACTGCTGTTTCTCTACTTGCACTTTTGTCCTAGAACAGGATAGCCATGCTCTTGCCTCCACTGTGGCAGTAGCACTGCTGGCAGCAGGCTGGGGTGAGGATGCTAACTGCTCTGCACTGTGGCTCTTTCTGCAGACCCCCGCATTGCTGATTATCCACTGATGCAGTCCCCGTTCCTTGTGATGGGCATCCTTCTGGGATATGTCTACTTTGTCCTATCCTTGGGTCCCCGGCTAATGGCCAACAGGAAGCCTTTAAACCTGAAGAAGTTCATGGTGCTATACAACTTCTTTTTGGTGGGACTCTCCCTTTACATAGTTTATGAGGTGAGTTGCCAGTAGCTTGGTTGGGCATGTGTAAAGCAGTGTGTGCAGGCTGTGTGGGTGATGGGGAGCCCTTTTTCTGACTGTTCCCTGCCCTTCTGTGCAGAGCTTGATGTGCAGTGGGGGCAATATATTAGGCTTCACCCTGATGATGCTCTTGTTGCAGTTCCTGATGGCAGGGTGGCTTACTGGGTATACCTGGCGATGTGACCCTGTGGACTTCTCACAGGACCCCAAGGCCCTCAGGGTGAGTTCTCATCCCTCTCCTGATAGGTGGGGATGGCCTTTAGTGCTTCTGTTTGGACAGCAGGGTCACAACTCCTGCCTCTACTGAGGCAGAGGATGTGCAATCTCTGGGCCTTGGTTTCATGCCAGGGTAACTGTATGAAGCCCTTCACTTACTGAGCTTGTTCAGGCTGAGGTGGGTCTCTGACGTTAACCTCTTCTGTTACAGATGGTCAGTGTTGCTTGGCTCTTTGTTTTCTCCAAGTTCATTGAACTGACAGACACGGTGAGTTATTGAGAAGGCCTTGTCACCACTTGCTGGGCAGGGAATTGAGGCTCAGTGTATTTGAAGTAGGTGCTTTTGCTACTGCTCTGGAAGCTGTGAGGTGACCTAATGGGTGATAACAATGAGTGTAGAGGGAGGGAGGCATCACTGAGATCAGATGCTGAATTAATGGACTGGCCTGGTCTAGCTGCTCCCAGGGCTGCAGGTCCTTCATGCTGTTGGGCTTTCATTGCAGGTGATCTTTGTTCTGAGGAAGAAGAATGAACAGGTCACATTCCTGCACCTTTTCCACCACTCTGTTCTGCCATGGAGCTGGTGGTGGGGAGCAAAGTTTGGTCCAGGTAAGATGGCAGCTGTCTGGGTGCATGGATTGAGTAGGGTTATCCCAGCATACTGAGAAGGGGCTTTTGGCCCTCCTGTGCTCTTAGCAGCTCTGTGTAGTGCTGATTGCTGTGGAATATTGACTTACACTAAGAAATCTATCTTAACAGGGGGAATGGGCTCATTCCATGCCATGATCAATTCCATGGTGCATGTTGTCATGTATTTCTACTATGGGCTCTCAGCAGCAGGACCTGCCTTTCAGAAGTACCTGTGGTGGAAGAAGCACATCACAGCCATCCAGCTGGTAAGTCTGTGTGAGCAGAGCATGTGCCTGATGTGAAGGGCAGGCCAGCCCTTGTACCTTTTGAAAGGTGCAGTCAGCAGCAGTAGTTGTTTCCTTTGTAGCATATTGCTCTAAGTTTTCAGCAGCTCTGCCTACTGTGGGCCTCTGATAGTCTGGTTGGGGTGTGGGTGCTGGTCAGTTCCTGGGCTGCAGCCATGTTGGGAGGGTGAGAGATATATGCTGCTCTGAGACTTGTGCCTGCCTCTTCCAGCTGCTGCTGACTGCTTCACCATAAGGACTTCTTGCTTCAGGAGTCTAGTTGTTGCCTTTTATAAATAAGGTCTCTAGTGGGTTCCCTGACCCTGCTCCCATGAATAACTTGTTCTTACTCTGCCTTGCTCCCAGGCACAGTTTGTGATTGTCTCCGTCCACATCTCCCAGTATTACTTCATGCCCAACTGCCAATACCAGTTCCCCATCTTCATTCACCTTATCTGGATTTATGGGACCATCTTCTTCATCCTCTTCTCCAACTTTTGGTACCAGTCCTACACCAAGGGCAAACGGTTGCCCAGGGTGGCTCAACAAGCAGCCCAGCACAACGGTAGCAGCATCCATGAAAATGGCACTGTCACCAATGGCAAGGTCAAAGCCAACTAGAGGGTAAAGTGCTCCCAGAGCCAATGAGAGCCCCGGGGCAGAGGCAGCTGGGACCTGCCCCTCCGCTCCTGGGTGCCACTAGCCAAGTCAAGTGCCTACAGACTGTTGTACCCCTGTGCCCAGTCCTGCTGTCCCCTGTCTGCATGCTCAGCCCCTCTGCTCTGGCAGCTATAGGCCACTTCTACTCCTGGGAGGGCTTGTGCTGTTTCTTGGTGTTGCTGAGCAGAGAGGCAGCTGCCTGCATCACAGCTGTGGGGCTGCAGTCCCATTCCAGTGTTTCCAAAGGAACTTTCCCCAAGTGCCTACATCTGGCTCTTCTGCCTAGGGGCCATTTCCTTCTGAGTAGGACCAAAAGAAGAGACTGCTTCCTGTCCTGGTGCCCTCTCCTCTTCCCTGTCTCACAAGAGCTTGTGTGGATGAGCAGATTCATCCCTGGCTGCTTGTTACTGCCAGCTCATCTGTGAGTGCTCCTGCTCTACGATGCCTTGTGCCACTTTGTTCCATGCCACAGTGCTGTATGTCCCTTCTGGTCCCTCTGTGCCCAGCTTGGGAGTCCTGCCCTGGCATATTTGTGCCCAGGTGTCTGTGGAGAACGTAGGGGCAGTACTTATGGGACTTAAGGGCCCAGACCTGCCCAGTACCGTGCACATGCCCTGTGCCTAATACAGAGCAGGGGCTGTGAAAGCCTGAAAGGCTTCCCCCACATGGTAAGCCCAGGCTGCCTTGCCGTTCTTGTGCCTGGGCTGGGTGCTCAGTGTGTGCTTAAGCCACACTTACCTGATCCTCTATGGCAGCTGGTGGCTTGCTCCAGAATGGGGGAGACCAGGCTCAGCTGAGTCTTGGACCACTTCCATTCCTGTAAATTCAAGACTTGAGCAATAAGTGCCCCTAAAATCAGCCCCTGGGCTCTCCTGCTTGGAACCAGTCCTGCTCTGGCCTAGCCTGAGCACAGTAGAGGGTGGTTTTAGTGTGCTTGGCTGTGGTACAAGAGTGAGCACCTGTTGCTTCTGTGGATCTGACTGGGCCTGTGTGAAGATGTGCTCTGCCTTTCAGCAGGGCAGTGCAGCAGCTCTCCTGGCCTGGTGGCTGTCACCTGCTCTGGCTGTAACCAAAACATGCCGATGGCCTCAAGGATGAGGTGAAGGAGCCAGGCCCTGTCAGATTGGGCTGCTCTTCTATCACAAATAAACCAACAGAAGGAGAAATGGCTCTGTCCTCTTGTTTTCTTGGCTCAATGTAAGCAAAAACTGTTCCAGGTGCTTGGTTCTGCCCAGGGTGGTTGGAGGCAGGGCTGGGAGAAGCAGCTGGTGTAGCAGGTTTGTGCTGGGGGAAGAGGGCGATAGTTGTGTGCTGATGAAGCAGATGGCAGATTGTTTCCAAGTGTTTTGGTAGAGCAGTGCTCAGGGCTGGACGTGTGTCAACTCTTCTGTTGTGAAAGTGACTCCACCCTGTCAAAAAATGGCTGGGGTGGAGTGTGGGTGTGGGCTGGGCCCTGGGCCACCTGCCCAGGAAGAACTGCTGCTTTTCAGAAATCATGGGGATTTGAGCTATGGCAGAGCAGGGACTAGAGACTTTGGAAACTTGAGTGCTTGGGAAACAGCAGTTTGTTGCTTACTGCATCTGCTGAAGCAAAAACTGCGATCTGTGAATGCCCCAGCAGCATGGATCCGTGCAGAATGTAGCCCAGCTTGGTCAGAGGGAGGTTGATGTTTCTGCCTTACTTTTGCTGCAGAAGTGCATCTTTGCCTGGCTGGGTTCTGTTATCTTTCCAAACGTCTCATTCTGGTGTCCCTTCAGTGCTATTGGGGTGGAGGGCTGCCTTCCCCATCACCCCATGACTGGGGCTCTCTTGAGCAGAGGCCAGCCTGGGTCCTGACTCAAGCCTGGGAAGAACAGTGGGGAGCCAGCTGGGCAGCTTGTGGCTGGGAGGAATGTGTTAGAGCAGCAGCCTCCAGACGCTGAGTTTCACTGTAGGTTTGGTTGTGGGGTGGGAGGACTTTGGTAGATGTCCAGCCAAAGCCCTGGAGCAGAGCTTGGTGTGAGAGAGCTCTGCTGATCTGACCTGGGCTGCTGTACACCTCAAGGCCATGCTCGGAAATGTAGGAAAGCATCTCCAAGTGACCTGAACTGGTGTGACTAATATGCCTAAATTACACACGGACATCACCCTCCACCCTACAGCCCTCAATGTCTTTGTACGCAAGAAGTCATAAAGTGGGATCTGCCTGCTGCACTGTGCTGTGTTCTTCCAGTTGTTGATGCTTCTCTGGGAGAAAAGACTTGGATGAGAATTTGTTCTTGTCCATGCTGAAGTGGTGTGTAATGTTATTTCAGTGCTCAGAAGTCACCCCTTCAGGAGCTGTAGGTGATGGTCTAGCTGATATGGACCTTTTCCTGTCAAGCCTCCTTCTCCCCTCCAGCTGGCTCTTGGTAAAGACAAGACTGTCTTTGCTTTTGCCCAAAATAGTAACAATGCTTTAAACTACTTATGCTTGGTATTTTAGAATGGGCTGTTCCCTGCATGTGCTCTGCTCTCCCTTCCTCCAATTGTTCCTGTTAGCTGTGCTCTTCTATGGGCTGGCCATGGCATTTGGCAATTTATATGCTGTCATGCTGTGAACTGAATTCACACCTTATAGGGTTGTGTTTACTGGGCCTGCTGGATCAATGCCCACTTCCTTCCTCTGCTCCTCTTTGCTCCAGGACTGTAAGGCCACCAGCACGGGGCTAAAGACCCTGCAATATCATCACCCTGTAGTAATGCTCAGAGGACCTTCAAGGGCTCTGTAATGCACAGTATCTGTGGGTGAGGTGTGTGCTAAGGAGAAAGAACCTGTCAGCGAAAGCTGAGCTGCTCTTACATGGGAATAAAAAAATTACAGCAGCTTTCAGGCATATAAAGCTTTCCTTCCAAGTTAGGGACCAGGGAAGACCTTATGCCTGCTTCCTCATTAATGACAACTGTGGCCCTAGGATTTTGACTGAAGAGGGAGGGCTCCTTCCTTGGACCTCCTGTGATCTTTCCCAAGTGGCCAAATGGGGATGTACCAGCAGTGCTGCTGGGAAGGTCCTGGACTCAGCTGCTGTTTTTTGAGACTGTGCCCCCCATATCAGCTGGGGTGGGAATACTCTGGTGGGTATGGTTACACCCTCACCTTGGCAGAGCACAAGTTGGAACCTTAGAAGGTTTCAGCTGGTGTGAAGCTCAGGAGGCAGAGCTGGTGCTAGGTACAGTGTAGTACTGTGCTGAGGGGAAGGTGAAAACAGTTAATAATCTACCCTCAGCTTATCACTGGGCTGGTGGGAGGCACAGGCTTGGTGGAGCTGCTTTGTACAGGCCAAGGTGCTTATCAGCTATGCAGTGTCCCCAGCAGCCCCTGGCAATGCTGGTGCAGCTGAAGGACAGGCTTGATGGGTCTGGTGCAGCCCCACAACCTCAGACACCGTGGCTCCACCATGCAGAGCAGCGTGGCTGAGCTGGCTGTTGGTCAGCATTTCCTGCAACTTGCTCCAGCACAGTTCAGCCTGGAAAAAAGGCATTTTTCCAAGTGAAGGGGAATCAAGCTCTAACAAATCTCTGCTGAGCCCTGGTGCCTGCTGCCCTGCATGAAGCCTCAGCAAGGTACCAGGGCTTCCTGTCAGCAGGAGGGGAAAACAGATGAGAGCTGTTAGAAGAATAAGTGACTGAAGGCTGAGCACAGGGTTGGTGGTGCTTTGTGTGGCTCTTGCATGACATCTAAGCTGGCTGTAGCAGTGTAAACTAACCTTTTGTTTTGCATCAGGCTTTATGCCAGTACCAGCCCCTTTCTGGCCTTTGAGGTGATTACAGCTGTTGCTGTATCTTTCCCCCTCCTTTTTTTTCAATAGCAATTCAGTCTACTCCAGCACCATAAGCAGGCAGTGATGGCTGAGGGTTGCCTGCAGAGCCACTGTAAGGCCCCTGTGATTGTGGGACAGGACACAACAGAAACTGAGGCCACAGAGATGCTGTGCTTTCAGTTGAGCCTGTGGTGGAGCTGCTGTGCTCGTAGGCACCATCGAGATCGGGGAGGTGACATATCGATCTTAGCTGGGAGAGAAACAGAAGTACAGCTATTGCTCTTGCACAGCATCCTTCTGCTAGGCTGAGTGCCTGTAAATTAGCCCTAAAGAACTAAGACTCTACCCCTTGCTCAGATCCCCAGCCTTAGAGAAAAGAACTTAGGTCAAGCTTTTTCTTCTATCAGACTCCATTAAGAAAAAGTCAAGTTAAGCAGTTTATTAACATTTAAAATACTGTACAGTGTGTAAACCAAATATCCCCCTCCCCACAACAACGCAGTGCTCTCAGCGGATGCTCTGGTGAATAATACTGCTTTTGGCACTGTTTGCCTTCTCTTTCTCCTTCTTCTTTATGGGGTCCATCTCAAAACAGCGCCAGAGCCGCAGTGTTTCATCAGCAGCTGCTGAGGCCACCGTTGTACCATCAGGGCTCATGGTCAGGTTCAATATTCTGGCAGTATGACCTGAGGAGGAGGAGTGTGCAAGTCAGGGCTGAGCTGATCAGCACATGCCCACTTACTCCTGTATGCTTCCATGAACCCTGACAGCTTGCATAGCTGTCCCCCCACCCCACTGGCTGTGGCAATATGATTTCAGACCCCAAGCATACACTTGAAGCAATGGTATTTCTTCCACAGTCTGTGGGAATGCCTTACTCCTAGCAGCCTGCCCCTGGATCCTGTCCTGTATCAGTGATGCTGTGAGCTCAAACCAAGGAGTGCAGCTACCTTCAACCTCTAACAGCCTCCCCTTGCCCAGGCCTCGTCCACCTACCTTGCAGCTCTGCAACCTTGGTCATTGTTGGATACTTCCATAGAACCAGCTGATTCTGTGCAAAGCCATGGCCTGAAATGAACTCCTTGTAGTTTGTTGACCACAGGATAGAACAGACCTGAGAAGAGGCAGTAACACAGGTAATTCAAACTACTTGTGCTGATGCTCACCTCTCAGAGGTGAGCATGGTCCCCCTCCTTTCTCATGCCTCTGGGCCTGAGGAGCCAGCAGCTATGTGTAGGTGTGCTGCCAGAAGGTGTTTGTCTCCAAGCTGATGTTCATGTCTCACCTGGGAATGGGCATCAACAGTACTGAGGCAGGCGCCAGAACACACGTTCCAGATGCGGATATGTCTGTCACTAGTGCCACCTCCAGTGGCTAGAACATTCATCTGCCATGGGCACCACGCCACCGCCTGAGAGAGGAGAACTCAGTTTAAGACATGCAAGAGGCAACTGCACCCAGCCAGTGCTGCATGTCTGCCTTGCACACAGGTATCTGCCTGTGGCAACCCTGTGCTCACCTTGACAGCACCCTGGTGCTGAGTGAAGGTCTGTACAGGAGCAAAGTCTCCACCTCCACCTTGGGTGCATGGCCAAACGTTCACCAGATTGTCATTACCACCACTGGCCAGGTAGCGGCCATCTAGAGACCATTTGAGTCCACACACCTCTTGTGTGTGGCCAGCAAGGGTGGCCACATGATGCTCAGCTACTCGGACATCATGATGATGGATGTGGCCAGTCCGTGCCCCACTGCAGAGAGAAAAGAAGGCTTGCAGGGTGAGGCTGACACATTTTCACCCAAATCCATTTTTGTTGTTGCAAGACTGCTGTACCTGCCACTGGATTTTAACCAGTGTAACCAGCAACACTGGTCTGTTGGTGTGAGTGAAACACCCACACAAGCTCTTTACAGCTTCAGCACAAAGTGCAATACAGAAGAGAAGCCTTCTCCTCACAGTCCCAACGGAAAAGGCCGAGTAAGAATCTCAAGCCAGGACAGAAACTTCTCTGTGCCATCCCTAACCCACACCATGCATAGATTGAGGGATAGGAATTTGCAACAACTGGAAAGTGCCCTTGATCCACTGCTTTACCTGGACAGGATGTAGCTGTTCCAGCTGAGGGTTCCCACACGGGCACAATGGCTGGTCATGTTTCGTAGACGTTTCTGCTGCTGGATGTCCCATAGCTAGAGAGGCAAAGCAAAAAGTTCTCCAGAGGAAACACAGTCCTGTTGCTATGCCATAGGAATCTCACTGCACAGGCTCTGGCATTCACCCTTCTCAGTAAGGGAACAGAGAAAACCTATATCCCATGACTATAGCACAGAAGGTAACACCACTTAGCAGAAAACCCCCAAACCTAACCCTGCCTTGCACTCTGCACTTGGCTGGGGTAGTTCCACCCCACACCAGGGAAGACAAGCCAGGTGCGTGGCATCCTTCCTCTGCCAGACAAGCTTTTGTCACCAGGCCCCACAGTTCTGTCAGTCCCTAGAAAGCACTTCTGGTTTTACTCCCACATTCACCTGGACCTCAGCACTACTTGTGCCAACAGCAAGGTAGTTTCCTTCTTTAATCCATGACACAGAGGAAATGTAAACATCTGGATGCTCCATCTGCAGCAGTTGGATAATCTCCCCAGAACCGTGATTCCACAGATAAACAGAGTTGTCCAGAGCCACTGCCAGGAAGTTCTGGGAGCTCCAGTCTATGAGATTCAGATCTACAATTTGAAAGAGCAATGCAGGTCACACACCATGCTTACCCAGAGAGCCCTGCCCTTCACCCATGCTGATGCAGCAAGTGTGTGTGTCCACATGTGCACGCACACACATACAAGTAAGGGGCAGCCTTGTGGGTGTCATTATGCCCAGCTGGTGGGGTCAAGTACCCTGCTCCAAGCACAGTGTCCTAGACCACTGTTCCACACAGGGACACTTCTGAAGTAGTCTGTGCTAGCCTGGGTGCATAAAATAATACAAACAGCCCAGTTACACAGTCCTAGGAACAGCACTCCAGTGCAGAATGCTCTGGATGCCCAGCACTCACCCATGCAGCTACTTACAGTAGTCATTGCGGATCTCTGGTGCATCCAGGATCCGGTCTGGCATTGAGGGAATGTATCTGCTATTCTTCCTGCTGGATCCAGGTGTCATTTTCTGACTGTAGAGCACTTTCAGGTTATTCTGATAGCCTGTGTGCAGAGGAACAGGTTTGTTAACCTGAGTTGGTTTCCTCCTAGCTGAGTACTGCTCATCCAACTAGGAATCCCTTGGAGTGAAAATAAAGTCCTAAGAGATACTCTCACAGCACAGTGTTAAATTTGTTTTCATGAATGAGGAAATTGTAGCTTACCTCGGTTCAAGTAGTTCATACTGCCAATGATGTTAGCACAAACACTTGGATTTTTGTATCCCATTATCTTTAATGACAGTTAAGCTAGAAAGTGCACAGCATAGTTTGATGCTCTTACAGACCTCATGAAGGTTTGCAACCTGCAGCACAGGTGAGTAACTGGCAGTCATAGCAACTTTCCTAAATAAATTCCCTGGAACTGTTATGCCCTCCCTCAACCTCAGGAACCCTAAGAAAGGAGACTCTGGTGTGTATAACTCTCAGAAACCAGTTGATTTCTCCTGTGACCACACACAGAGCCTCTGTGTTGCTGTTCCCCTGACCAGATCTCCCCTGCTGATTCAGCTCACACAGATCCTGTATCATACCTTCTGGAGCATTCTGTGGTTTTCCACTGAGGCGGAGAATCTTTGCCTCTTCTACATCAAAACCATTCAGATTCACTGCCCAGGCTTTTTGTTGCTCCTACAGAGACAAATCACCCTCAGTGCAATGCATTTAAAACAACTTCCACACTGCAGTTAAAACAGACACTTAAGCCCCCTTCTCTTAGAATCAGGAGATGTTCAACTGTTCTGCAAGGGTCAGCCACAGACAGGCAGGTCAAAGCAGTTTTTCCTCAAACTTTCACAGACTGTCCTCATGTTTTCAAACAATAGCAAATTCAGTGTCATTGCCAGTGGGAAAAGCCACAGCCACAAGCGACCAAATGCTTCATAAACAGATTTTAGAACACAGTGTAAAACATTCCAGAAGTGTTCCTTGTGTAGACATTGTCCTAGAATAGCTACCACCAGCAGTTTCACTTTGCATAGGCTCACAGCTTTGTGTTTTTGTTGCCTGCTATATTTTAAAGCCTCATTAGTCAAAAGCTAAATTTTGCTACCAGAAGCAGCATAGGCTAGAGTGCATGGCAGTCTCTACAGCTTCAATCTCATCCTAGACTCCTGAAGCCCAGAGTTGCAAGTAGTGATTGTCAGTCCCATGTGTCCACTTGATAGAACCTGTAGTTTACTTCTCTGTAAAGGGGCAAGAAAGATTAGGTGTTTGGTAGTGGTTGTTGAAGTAATTGTAACTTAGCAACATGCTCACCTTCTTGGTAGGGGATTCCTCAGCAGGGTCATTCTCTTTGGTTAGGAGGAAATTTGCCATCTCCATCTGCATAGTGCTGCGGTTGGGAATGTAGCGATCCCCCCCAGCTTTTGTAGGGGTGTTTTGAATTTTGGATCCAGATTTACCTGCATTCGCATATGAAAATATTGTCTTACAGCTATTCCACAGTCTGTATTAGAGCTTTCACAAGGGCAAACCCAGAACTCTTCTACATCACACCCACCAGACAAGTTCTAGACAAGCAGGACTCTGAGATCTCATGCCACCCAGTCCCAATCATCTTATATTTCCCCTCCTGCCACCAAGCTCCGGTTAGGGACTGTCAGGAGACAACTCCTTGGGTCTGGTGCAATAATCCCAGCGTCCACAGATGAGGGGAGGATACAGAAACACAGTTACAGGATGTAAAGTGTCAGCTGATAGTCCCGCCCACACTTGCCCCAACATGCAGCTGTGCCAGCAATGCTCAGCTGGGGGGATCAGCAGTTCGCCAGCTCCAGTGCTCAGCCCCTCATGCTGGGAAGGAGGTCGGGGGTGATTGCCAGGAGCACATTCCACTTCCTCCTGCCTGACCAGCACACCGGTGGGACAGCGAGGCCAGAGCCTCATGGCTACAGACAAGCAGCCTGGGCGAGGCTTCCGCACTCAACCTCTGCCGCTGGTGGCCAGCGCTCACCGGGTGTCTTGGACGGCGTCTTGCTGGAGCTGTGGGAGCGATTAGCCGGCTTCATGGGCGACACGCCGACGGGGCTGGGCCCGGGGCCGCTCTCCTTAGCCTTGCGCTGCCATCGCGCAGGCGGCGCGTTCGGGATCGGAGTGTCCAGTTTCAGCAGCCCGTGCAGGTCCGCCTCGAACAGGAACTGCGCCATGGTCCTGCGGGAGGCCGGCGTCAGCCGTGCCCACCGGGCGGGCTGCAGCCTGCTCCGACAGGCCCCGCCGGCCTCCCCACCACCGGACCTTCCAAACCCTCCGGCCGCTCCTCGGGGTCCTCCCCACCACCAGGCACCCCCCACTCTCCCCAACCGCTCCTCGGGGCACTTTGCATCTACCGAAACGCCCTCCCTCCGCTCGCCGGGAGTCCTTTCTATCAGCTGACACCCCTTCCAGCCGCTCTTCGGGGCTCTCTCCGCTAAGCGACATTCTCCCTTCCCCTCGTCCACTTCACTGCAGCCTCCCCCGCTCGAGACTGCGCCTCAAAGCTGCCTCCTCGACCACCCCAGCCCCACCGCGCTCTAACCTCCGCCGCGCCGCCGCCGCCGCTCGTCCGCCCCGCCTGCGCCGCAGCATTTTAAACGGCGCGCGGACGGGGCCCCGGTTGGCCGCTTCAAACCCAACGGCCGCGCGCTGCCAGGCGACGGCCGCGCGACGCAACGCGATTGGCTGAGCCGCAGGCCGGGGCGGGGCGCTCCGCGTGCAGGTAGGGGGCGGGACCAGAGGCGGGCAGTTATTGACGGGGAGGGGCAATTTGGGGGCGGGGCTATCTGGGCTGGGGCGGGGCTATCTGGGCTGGGGGCGGGACGGCGAAGGAGGGCCCAGGCGGGTGCTTGAGTTCCGATGCGCGTTTATGGCGGGGTGGGGGCAGTAGTGGCTCCCCGCGGCTCCCAGCCACTCATGAGCAGGTAGGACTGGTTGGCGATGTCGGTGCTGGACAGGCGGCCCCCAGCGTGCTCCGGCGGCGGGCCCGCCTCACGCCGCGGGCCGGGCAGCACCTCCAGCAGGCAGGGCAGGACGGCCTCCTCTGGCGGCTGCTTGTCGAAGGCGCTGGCCTGGGGGACAGGGATGTACGCGGTAGGGGCTGCCCTTCGAGCTGCCCTCGGGGGAAGCTGAGCCGCCTTGCCCCAGCCCCTCACCTGGCCGTGCTTGCCGCTGTCCTGGAGGAAGTTGCCCAGAGCACGGTGCAGGTCAGGAACGGGCGGCCAGAGTTTCTGCTTCACGTTGCTGAGTACGGGGGAAGGGACATCGAAGGTACCCTCAGCCTTGAGGTGCCGTGATGCCCCGTGCATGGATCCCCCCGCCTGCCCCCGGCGCAGCCCTTTACCTGTAGAAGGAGGGGAAGGTGCACCGTAGCCCCAAGAGCACCGCTGAGAAGAGCAGCGGCACCACCGTAACACTGGGGATGAGCCAGCCTGCATCGGAAGAGGAACGCTGGACCTGTGGCCCTTCCCAGACCCACCACCTCTGAGCCCTTCGCAGCTTTGTCACCCTCTTCCCGGTATTCCCATCCCATTTCCAGCACTCTCCGTCTCCTACGATCAGCCGGGCGGCTCCTCTGGCCGCAGCCTCCAGCCCTGCCCTGTCCCTTACCCGCATCAGCCGCGGCATCAACCACAACAGGTTTGGACCAGGCGCTCCAGCTGCCCTGGTACCACGGCCCGCTGGGCTGGGCCCGCACCTGGGCGTGGTAGCGGGTGCCTGGCCGCAGGTCCAGGACTTCTTTCCTAGCTGCTCGTGGAACCTGCAGGACCTGCGGGGCAGAGCCAAGCTAGGTATGGCTGCTGTGGGGTGGCCAAGGCACCAAGGAGCGGGTCCCGGTTTGCCTGACCCCGTGCCTGCCGTGTGTCAGCAGCGGAGGTGAGCAGGGCTGCTCGGGTATACTGGCCAGGCCTTACCTTCCAGTCATTGCTGTTCTCTATGGCATAGCGGACCTGGTAGTCCATCTGCTCTGCCAGCAGCTCCAGGGGCGGCAGCCACTGCAGGCTCAGCCGGCCCTGTGACACTGTCGCCTGCACAAGCTGTGGGGCATCTGTGAGCACTGTTGGTGTTGGGGACAGGCATGTGTTGCTCCTGTGAAACGGGACGTGGGACACTGTGTCCCTTGTGAGCCAGGCAGGGGCTGTGGTGGCAGTGGGACTCACCAGCCTGGTGCAGCCAAAAGGGCTCCTTGAAGTAGCTGAGTGTGGGCAGCTTTTGGGTCCGGGTGACATTCACCAGGACAGAGATGGCACTGCCAGCCTTAGGCTGGAAGATGCAGGCATGGGTGCCCTGTGCCCCCTTGCTCACCTCCTCGCACTGTTGCCATGCATCTTCCCTGTGGAAGGAGTGGGGAGCCAGTCAGTCCCACCATAGCATAGCCACAGCCAGCATTCCTCCTGCACTTGCCCAGAAAAGCTACTGCTGCTTGTAGCAGGAGGTGCAATATGGCCAGGAGAGGTGGTGAGGAGGTATGAGATTGGTGGTGGTAGGGCAGGACAGAGCAGGGCATGGACAAGGGGCCCAGTGTGGGATGTTGGGACACAGCAGGACCAGTGGTCCCTGGGATGTGCCTCCCTGAGTGCCATATGCCTGCCATGCCCCTTACCTTGTGCCAGCCCCGCTTGGAGGTGGCCGGTAGAAGAGCTGGTGGGCACTGTGGGGCTCTGCAGGATCCCAGCTCCACTCGCAGTGCACATGCCGCAGGTCAGGGGTACTGCAGCACAGCCTGATGTCTCCTGGGCAGGTGAGAGCCAGGGCGGGGAGGGGGCTGGTTCCCCTTGGCCCAAAACTTGGGTGTTGCATCTCACCTACAACAGGACCCCACCCCCTGCAGCCCCAGATGTGGATGCCTCCCTGCTGTTCCTGCCAGCAGCCCTGCCGAGGGGATGGCTGCTCACCAGAGGAGTGGGGTGTCTCTGCAGCTACTGCCTGTGACCAGGGCCCCCAAATGCCGTCCATGGAGATACCGTCGGGCTTGCTGCGCACATGGATGTGGTACCTCACCCCTGGCTGCAGGTCCTGGAGCACCACCCAGGTGTTGGCCTGGACCAGCCTCTGTAGGAGAGGGGCCAAGCTGAGGAGCAACTGCAGGCCTCAACCTCCGCTGCCCATCCCTGACCCCTCTATGTACCTGCCCCACTGCCGGGGAGGATGCCCCAGCCCTGGGTGTGTGGGTGCTGACAGTTGACTGGATGGAGGGGTCCCCAGGGTGCTGCCCACCAGGATTCAGTGTGGTGCTGCAGGGCATCCCTGGAGAGCTGGCAGGGCAGCACTGCACCTCGTAGAGGAAGAAGTTCAGGAAGTCAGCGAGTGGTGGCTGCCATGACACGCAGAGCTGCCCTGCAGCCCCAGCCCAGCGGGCTGTGATGTTCACTGGGGGAGCAATGAGACCTGCAGAGAACATGCCAGGGTATTTGCCCTCCTGCAGCAGCCCTGCTCTGGGCAATGCCTGGTCCTTCTGGGGGACACATGGATGTCCCCCCAAGGCTGCCTCTGTGCCCAACATGCAGGACTCAGAGTGTTGCCGGCCCCCATGGTGGGCAGAAGGTCAGGGGGCCCAGATCTGGGGACTGTCCTGTTGTCACAGGGTATTGCCCAGTCAGAGGGACTCACCCACTGCATCCACACTGAGCTCCCGCCAATACTTCGTCTTGTTTGTGGTGGCATCTAGGACACGGAGGTGGAGCTGGGTAAAGAGCCGCACATCCTGGCTGGGGAAGACGCAGACATGTCGCTTCCCACCAGCCCCATGGTGCCACGTGGAGACCATACACTCTGTGGGCACATCCCTGAGGAATGGAGAGCAGGGTCTTGCAGCACCTCCTGCCTCAGGCCAAGCTTGAGGAGAGGGAATGTGAGGCACAGCACCAAGATCTTGGTGTCACCAGCTCCTTTCCCATGCCACCATCCACTGCAGGGCACTATCCCCATGGGACTGAGGGACAGCCAAGGCCCCAGCCCTGCTGCAGGGTGTGCAATGGCTGCTGTGTAGCTTCTGTGGGCTCTCCATCTCTCCTTGTAGCTTGGAACCACTGGGATGGCCCAGATTGCTGTGACACCCTGACCCTGCTGCTCTGTGTACAGCAAGGAGGAGGCTGGGCTGTATCCCCACCATTTCCTACCTGCTGTACTGGTAGTAGAAATGGTACATCCCAGTTGTTGTTCCTTCCTCGTCCCAGAAGCAGGTGAGGTCCTCGAAGGAGCGGGAGAAACAGAGGATGTCCTCGGTCACGCCTGCTAGCAGTGCAGCGTCTGGGAGGAGTGTGGGCATGAAGGAGCCCCTGGGCACAAACCCATCCCCATCTCACCTGTTTCCACCTGCCCCATGCCCTCTGGCACACAGGCAGCCTGAGCATGGCTGTGGCACAGGTGCCCTCCACCAGCTTGGCACACTGGGGAGGGACACAGCACCCGTGCTGGCTGCTGGCTTGCACTGGGGTTCTGGCTCATGCAGGGCTCCCCCCGGCCCCACCACGCCCCCCTCCTCAGTACACGAGGTCCTTGAGGACAAACAAACATCTCAAAATAACCCTGCGGTCAGAGGGGAGCTCAGGGCCCAGCATCAGGGGGAAGCACCCCTGCCCTGCTCATGCCGGAAGGTGCGAGGAAGTGAGATAAGAAGGAGCAGCACCCCAGGGAAAGGGAAAGGGCCTGGGGGCTGTGTGGGGGCATGTGGTCCTGAGCAGGGGGAGATGCCCAAACCCCTGCCCTGGGGGCATGTCTGTCCCCCTCAGTAAGCCGTGCTCCCTGTCGTTACGTGGACAAACTGGAGCATCACACCCTGCAGGATCTCTGTCCAAAGCACTGGTAGCTCTGTTGACATATGAGTGTCTGCTCCTGTTGTTGTAGCAGAGGGGACAGCCCCTCTTCCAGATGAGGCAGATACAGATGTGTGATGCACAGGGGTGGTCTTGCTGCCCCCAGCATTTTTTCAGCAGTCCCTTCTCCTTCACTACTTCTGCCCTGGGACCTGCTCCAGCCCTCTTCCTCTTCCTACTGGCATTTGCTGCCTTCCCAAGGGGTTGCCCCCAACTTTGGGACCTCACGCTGCCAATGTCTGCTGCATTTTCTGACTGTATCTATTCTGTGCTACACGCCCACTGCACTGTCAAATGAGCCCACCCTGGGCAAAGAATAAGTCACAGTTCCCAAATGTTCTCACCAGCTTAGTGTCCTTCTGCTCGCCCTGTCCCTTCTCTTGGCCTGACTCTCCCAGCCCTGTGCTGCCTTCTTCACCATGCCCATTGTCCTATCTCTGCCATAGACCTGTTCTTCTCTTTTTGCCCCCCATTACCCCACCCCAGGCCTAATGCTGGCTCCATGACCTCACTCAGCTCCGAGCACCAGGACATGAAGTGGCCAGGTCCCAGCAGCTCAGTGGCACGGGGACCCATGACATCAGTGGGAGGCCACCTGTGGGCTATCAGAGCATCTTTGCTGAGCACAGCCCAATTCTTAGGAAGGGCAGCTGCCCAGCTCTGCAGCCCACACCGGCCATGCTTGGGCAGTGCTGCCGAGCCAGTGGAGGGCTCAAGGCACAACGATTTTGCAGAGGCTGTGGGTAGAGAGAGGATGAGTCCAACCCTGACCCTCATTCCACGGCTCCTATGAGGGTGACTCAAAATGTGCTCCTGAGTCTGTCGTGGCCAGAGACTTAGGGTGGGGCTGGAGAGACAAGCAGGAGATCAACAGGGATTTATTCAGTTAATGCTTTTTATGGTGTTACAGAAAGTTCTAAAGGGGTGCTCAAAGAATGCGTGGAGAAGACTGAAATGAGACTAAATCGGAGAGTGGCTCTGACAGGTGCAGTGAGCCAGACTGGGGCCTGCTACCAGCTAAGACGAGGGTGTCCAGTGGGATAGTAAGATCCTGGCAAGGCTGGTGCAGGAGCACTGGGGTTAGCCTGGAAGTGTCACTGCATTGCACGTGGTGCAAGCTGTGCCATCAGATGTTAAATTGAGTCTTGCTCAAACCCATATCGTGTCATAACTCTCAGAACTTCTGATGAGTGAGGAGCCCCTCTGCTACCTGAGCAGGACTGGGAGCACCAGACTGCCATCCTCAGGGGCAACCTATGGACAGCCAAGCTCTGCTTGCAGAGACCATAGGTGCTCCTTCACTCCAAGCATCTCAAGGTGTCACACAGGTGAGAATGGCACTCCATTGCTCGCCCTGAACACCCCCTGCACACCCTCCTGGAATGCCCCCTTCCCAATCCTGTAAATTTCAGCTGCTGTGGGGTGCTTACTGCCCATACCTGGCATTCCAGCTCCTCTCTGGCCCATCCTTTGTGGAAGAAAATAGCCCCAAGGACCTACCTTGGGATGTCACTGGCTCGGGGGCTGATGGTGGGCTGTGGAGGCTGAGCAGAATGGCAGGGAGCAGTGAGAGCTGCCAGCCCTGGCACAGGCAGGCTGCCATCCTGCAACCTGTGTGCCGGAGCCACACGTGCTGCGCTCGGCCCTTCCCAGTGTCCAGGGAGCTGCTGCAACTCCTCCAGGCGATACCTTTATCTGGGAAGTGGTGGCTGTGCAGCTCAGGAAGCCTGGCTGGGGGCTCCTCCTGCCCCATCACCAGCACTTCCCTGTGCCTGAAACCACAATGCCACAGCCCCTCTGCCGCCGGCCGCAGTGCCAAGAGAGACTGCTCCTATCAGATAGGCGGCATGTCCTGCTCTTGTGGCTACTGGCATGCTGGGAGGATAGGAAGAAAAACAACCCCTGAGAAACTAGGGAGGCCCCTGTGTGGGGCAGGGCAGGCTATTGGGGCTGCTGCCACATGGAGAATGGGATATGGCACAGCTGATCTGCCTCCATTGTGTCTTGTGCCACCAGCAGCAGTGTGCTGTGCCAGCAGCACCGTCCCCGTGGCTTGCTGGGAGCAGAGCTGCAGGCACAGGGGGCAGAGCCCACACAGGTGCTAGTGGTGGTGGTGCAGGAGCAGGGCCACCACAGCGAGGTCCCACAGTCATACTCAACCTCATGCCAGTCCACTACTTCTGGTGGCTGGAGGGTCTCCCACCCTGCCAGGGCACAGCACTGTTGCACAGCCTGAGGGGCACCAGGGCACAAGGAGCCACTTGCACATGTGTCCCCTGTGCACCAAGGCCAGGTTTGCTTCTTCAAACCCAGTAGCTGAGGACAGCACCAGAGGTACTGAGGGGAGACAGGAGCAGCCAGCCCCAACTTGACACAGACAATTTTTTTTTGGTCAAAAGAAGCAGAAATACCTAGATGTGAGCAGAACTGGTGACACTTTCAGAGACACTGTTCCCAGCTTGGAGCAGAGGGGGTGCAGAGGCAGTGGCACGTTTGTCAGGCTGTTTTGTGAGGGCCAGTTCCCATCAGTGATTCACTGGGGATCTCAGGGATAGGGCAGAGAGGCTGCTCACTAACAGCTGCAGTTGACACCAAAGAGCACTGGAGGCCAAAATGAAAAATCAGAATGGTATTGACAGGGTTCAGAGACCTTCTGGGGATAAAAGACTTGCCAGGACAATGCAAATGTGCCTGTCTCCAACAGGGATACCAGGCTCTGCAGGAGCCACTCTTGCTTCTCATGGGACTGCAGAAGACAGATAGACAGAGAGCTGGATGTCGTGTCCAGGGCTGAGCAAGCTGAAGCCAGCAGAGGTGAAGCCCAACCACTCTCAGGGTAACAAACAACAGCAGGGCAGGTGATGGATGGAAGCTTGGGACAGGAGCTCCTCCAGGAGGGTCAGTGCAGAGCCCAGGTGACCCTTGAAGCAAGTGAAGATCACCCCTCCAGCACACATTCGAGCAGGCTGGTCAAACACAGCTGGCACTTTGCCAGATAGGCGAAGTTACCTGATGGCTTAGCACAGTGCTGAGAGGTGCCAGCTGGCCAGAGCGGGAAGGGTGTGGAGTTGCACAGCTCCACAGGACCCAGGTGGAGGAGCAGGGCCATCCCTTTAAAGAGCAGCCAGCTGAGGGGCAGCTGCAGGAACAATTTTCAAGCATTCAAGAGGCAGCTGTGCATAGGAAGGACATAGTCTGTTCTCCATATCCCTATGGGGACAAGACCAAGTCTTAAATTGTGTGCATGGGAAAATATCCTAGTTGGATCCTAAGAAAACCATCTCCATGGCATGGTGAGACCTGGGACTTATCGGGGAATGCTAGGACATTCCTGGAGATTATCAGAAGACCTCAATGGGAACAGGATTCTGAGGAGTGCCCACCACAGCAGCAGATCACTGGGCCCCCACATGCTGTTCCCCAGTGCTGTCAGCAGGGCAGAGCTGGGTCTCCACCAACACTCCTCTGGACCCGGCTGTTGCATGATCTTTATTGTCCATAAGGCAGAGCTGACACCTTTGAAGGGCCACTGCAGAGCTGGAGGCTGTGCACAGCCAACACTGTCTCTTTGCACCTACCAGGGTGGCCCCATCCCATGCCAGCAGTGCTGCTTGCAACCCCTGCACTGCTTCAGGCCCAGAGCATGCTGAGAGCTGCAGGGTGGGCAGCTGCTGTGTTGCTGTTTCGTCCTCTCTCCCCAAAGCTTGAGCATTTGTGTCCGTGGGCTTAGGCAGTACACTGGCTCCTGAGGGAGGCCCTCTCCCGTCTGCTCTGCTGCCAGCACCCCGCTGCTGCTTGTCCTTGGGGGCCATCCCAGCGTGTCCCCAGCAGCGTGGGGCTGTTAGTGGCTGGTACCATGCCAGGGCAGGATGGCACAGTCCTGCTGCAGAGAAGGAGTTCTTGGAAAGGGTCACTGCCATTTGGCTGCTTGGCCCTGGAGCGGGACGAGCAGCCCCTTGTCCGCACAGCACTGTTCCAGCAGGCTGGGGCCAGCGTTGCGCCTCTGAGCGGTGCCAGCGCAGCCTCACGCCTCCTCGGCGGTGGCATCAATCCCCGCGTAGGTGAAGTTCTCGAACAGGGCCATGTTCACGTAGGCCTGTGGGGGAACCCCAGTTAGGAGCCAGTTGTGAGCATGTCGACATCCACCTCCCAGCACCACTAGCATGCTCACAGGCACTGTGCCCCGTTGTCTCCCCGCACCCAAAAAGTGATGGTAGGGTAACCCCCACACGTGGTTCTGCTGCTGGCTGTCCGGTCCTTGGGCCCAAGGGATGCTCCAGCATGTGTAAAAGCCCCGTGCCTCGTGGGCATCCCTCCCCCTGAGCCGCTACCACTCACTTTCCTGGCCTCCAGCATGCGGATGAGCTGCATGGAGATCTGGGCGAAGGGAGGGCGCTCGTAGGGGCGGTCGCGCCAGCACTGCCGCATCAGCTCGTACCTGGGGGCGGAGAGTCATGGGCGGTTCAGTGCGCACGGGGGGAGAGGGGACAGAAAAGCTCTTTGTGGGAGATAGGGGAAACAAGAGGGAAATTAAAGCCCAGGAAAAGTGTTTGAGTGCGGGACTCCAGTCCATCCCTCAGCCACAATGCAGAGGCAACCAGGCAGAAGCTACTGAACGCTGGTGCTTGCCCTGTGGGGCAGTGGCGTTACGTGGGTGTCACCATCAGCCGAGGCTCGGTCCACTTACACCTCGTCGTCGCAGTTGCGCGGCTTCTCCATGCGGTATCCCTGGGGAAGCTTCTCATAGAGCTCGGCACACGTCATCCCGCAGTACGGTGTGCCCCCTAAAGCCAAAGACACACAGAGGCTGAGGAGGTGACAGTCCCTAGGGTGTTCCCCCCAGGGCTCCAGGATAACCAGACCTACGGGGACCTGAGTGAAGGAAGGTAGGGGACAGAGAAGAGCCTTACCCAAACTGACAATCTCCCAGAGCAGGACACCGAATGACCACCTGAAAGAGGAGGAGCTGAGGCTGTGACAGAGCGCCCAGCTGTGTCCCGCTGATGGGCACAGGGCAAAGCCCAGGGTGGAACAGGCAGCCAGGTCTTGGGTTGAGCCAGCAGCTCCTCAGGGAGATGCACCAGCACCACTTCCCACTCTTGCACCACCCAGAGCAATCACATTTCCCTCTCTGACTGTGCCAGAGAGGGGTGGAGGCAGCCAGCCCCAGCCCAGTGCCCCCACCTGCAGCACTTACACATCACTCTTGGTGGTGTATACACTGTAGTTGAGGGACTCAATGGCCATCCAGCGAACTGGCAAACGGCCCTAGGGAAAGAAAGAGCCACCATCAGGGCTGGGGGGGTGCCCCCTGGGTGGAAGACAGCTGTGATGCAGCCAGTCCTGCCATGGTGGGTTGGACACACTGATGGTGGGCATCCTGCCCACCACATTGATGCAGGCCCTGTGGAGATATTTCACTCCTGGCTCACCATTGTCTTCTTCACATAGACCTCCTCCCCTCTGGAGAGGCCAAAGTCAGCAATTTTGGAGGCCAAGTTTTCTCCCACCAGAATGTTTCTTGCTGCCAGGTCCCTGTGAATGAACTGAAAGGGAAGAGCAGTTAGCAGGAGCTACATGCTCCCTCCTACTGGTCCCAGGGACCTCATGCCTCAATGGGGAACTCCAGGCCTCAGGGAAAGGGTGGTCTGAGGGGATATACCTGCTTCTCACTCAGGTACTGCATCCCCTTGGCCACGTCTGAAGCAAACTGGAGGAGCTGCTGGGATGTGAGAGTGGAGGCAGTGCCATGCTCCTTAGCAAAGGCTGGGTCTGTCTCCAAGACTCGGCTTTTGCGGAGAAAGTCGAGGAGGTTTCCATATGGAGCATACTCAATGGCAATGTACAGGTAGCCTGGGGGACAGGAGGAGGTTGGGCTACTGGGACTTTCCCCAGCAAAAAGGAATAGACAGCTGGGCAGAGGTGGTGGGGCCAGGATAGAATGGGACAGCCCTCACCCTTGTTCTCACAGGCACCCAGCAAGTTGATGATGTTGGGGTGATGGCCTAGTTTGCACAGCACCTCCAGCTCCCCAGCAAAGTCCCGATGGTCATTCTCTGAAGCAAACTCTGGAAGCAAAGAAGGGATGAACACCTCAGGCCTACAACAAGGCCTTTCCTCTGCTTCTCTGCAAATGATTCCTGACACTCCCCAGCACAAGCATGGCCCAGGACACAGCTGCAGCACTCAACCCACCCTGCCTGTTTCCCTCAGCACTCACCTTTCAGCATCTTGATGGCTGCATTCATTTTCAGGCCGTCTTTTTTGATCATGGCCCTGATTACCTGCCCGAAGTTGCCCTCCCCAATCATGTCCTCAAACTTGATGTCTTCCCACTCCAGGATGGGGTAGCTGAGGGGCTCAGGCTGCGGCTTGGGCCGGCGTGTCAGGGTCAGGGTTCCCGAGTTGAACTGCAGGATGGTCTCTTCCCCCTGGCAGATGGAAGTGGGTGAGGTTAGAGGCACCAGGCACCTCTCTGCCCATGTGGCAGTCCCAGCGGGACAGGAGTCATGGGCAAGGGCGAGCTCCGCACCCTCTCCGTGTGGAAGTGAGGTCTGGCTGCATCCGGACTGGAGGCTATGGAACGTGACCTGGATCGGGCTGGGACGTGGGGAGCAGGGGACACGGTCCTGGTGGGGCAGGCGGCACTCACCGAGCCAGACTGGTACGTAAAGGTGCGGCGCCGGTGGAAAAAATTCTTCTTGATGAGGAAAAGTGCCAGGAGAGCAAAGAGGATGGTGAAGCAAGTGACGGACACAGAGCCAACAATGGCCAAGAGCAGCTGCTGGTCTGTTCCTGCCTGCTCAGTGCTCTGGCTGCCCAGGCTGGGCGGCACGCTCAGCACTCCTGCCAAAAGGAGGGACGGAGGGTTGTGGTCCATGGTCAAGCCCTGGCTGGCCTGCACTAGTGGCCAACCACCATGACAGCAGCCCTCTCCCAGCACCCAGGCCCCCAGTGAAGATACCATAACCACATCTTGAGTTTCTGGTGCCACAGTGGCACAGATGGGAAAGTGTCACAGCCCAGTTCCTGACACTGAACCACTGGTTTCTGGACCTCCAGCCAGCTTCGGGTCAAGCCACAATCTGCTGGCTCTGCTCTGCTCCCTTATCCCTTTGATTCACATCCCCCTCTGTCCAAGGCAGAGCCACTCTGTAGCTGCCATGCTGTCATCATGCCACCCCTGCCCCTGTAGGACTAGGAGGAACAGGCTTTCTTAAGACACCAAGAGTTTTGGTCTTGGGCTGCCGCTTCAGAGCCACGCTCAGAGGTTACCACAAGCACCCCAATCATTCTTTGATTATCCAGAATCTGAGTCCAAGCGGCAGCAGAGCTGTGAGCCCCCTGCCTGCTGGGACACCCCTCTCACCATCCCCGAAGGTCTTGGCTTTCACGGGCTGGCTCCATTCCCCTGGAACATGGGAGTTGGCACGGACACGAAACTGGTAACTGGTGCTGGCGTTGAGGCCTCCAACGATTTTGGTGGTCTCGGCACCGCTGTCGGTGTCAATCCACTGGGGCTCACTGGTGCCCCCCACCTGCTGCAGCTCCACGATGTACTTGGTGATGCCCCCGTTGGGGTACTCGGGCACCTGCCAGGAGAGCCTGACAGCGGTGTCGGACACAGGCTCTGCCGAGAGCAACTGCGGCGAGGAGGGCCCTGGGACCAAGAGAGGAGAGTGTCAGTCCCAGAACGGGACTCCTCGTGCTGCAGGGCTCAGTGCTACTGTTAGCATTAGACCCTGTGGATGGCAATGACAACCAGAGTGAGGTCAGCTTTGAGGGACCTTCAGGGACCCCTGGCCCCTGCTTGGAAGAGGTAGAGGTGCTTTCCATGTACCACAGTGAAGTAGGACTGTACCCCCACATATTCCAACCACACAGACCATCTGAGGTCTAGATGCCTGTGTATTGACTAGCTCTTGTGACATTTTATTTCTTCAGACCTCCCTCATATACTGTGCTCCCACCACCTCCTCTGAGCTCTCTCCTGTCTGCCCACATCCCTAACCCCAAATTCCCAAATCATACAAAGCTTTTACAAGCAGAGAGCAGAGGAAACCTCTCATCCCTCAAGCCTAATGCCTATCAGTCTTCTCAATGTGTACCATACAGTGCCAAGCCTCCCCAAAGGCCTTGTGAATGCCTTTCCCCTTGGTTGCCAGAAAGATTGGTCAGGCTCGTGCTCCATCTGCCCATAGTCTTCTACCTACTTCAGGGGCTGTGTGTGTGTGTGCCCATAGGTGAGACTACAGGACTCCCCAGGCCCTAGTGACTACCCAGCAAAATTACCTGGCAGCAGGGTTAAAACATACCAAAGGGAAATATCTTTTCATGCAGAGTATAATTATATCGAGAAACTTGTTGCTACAGGGTACTGTAAAGGCTGCAAGTATAGACAGGTCCATCAGGATTTGGGCAAGGGTGCAGAGAACAGATCTGTTTGTGAGTATCACTCATGATGGCCTGAATGTCATGTTCAGCTTAGGATGCTTCTCAGCTCCTTGGTGCTGGAGACTGCAGGGTCTAGTGAGGAAAGGAGGGCCCATTTTCCCCAAACAGCTATTCATGTTCTACCAGAGATGGCATAAGGAGCAGCCAGACCTGGGGATGGTTGCTGTTACAATTATAACTGATTTATCGCTTTAATTCCCTGTTATAGTTCCCTGCATTCTGCTGGACCCACCTTTGCTGTTGATCATGACCTTGTAGGGGTCAGAGGGGGGCCCCAGGCTGGTGCAGTGGTACACCAGCACCTCCAGCCTGTACTCCTTGTTAAACTCCAAGTCCCCAATGCGGGCAGAGTGCACAGAGATGGATGTGATATTTTTCTCTGAGACCAACCGCCTTGCAGAGTCAAAGAGGTGGACAATGAACCCATGTGCTGGCTCATGGTTGCTTGGCAACTTCCAATTGACATGAAGCATGTTTTTCTCTTCTATGGACCAGCCTTCAATCACAGGCTTGACTGTGGGCTCTGCAAACAAAAAGACAGCAAAACCTCATAGCGCATCAGCTGTGAGACTTTTCAGGCTCTGTGCTGTGCAGGGTCAGGGTCAGGGTCAGGGAGATGGAGGCTCACCGAGGCAGTCAGTAACCATGATGGCTTCAGGACCCTTGCTGCCCTCCCCACCAGCCCCTGGCCGGCTCAGCTGCACCTTGACAATGTAGGCGGTCACTGGCCGGAGGTTCATGAGTGTGATGTTCTCGCTGTTGTCCACTGTTGGCCAAGAGGACATGTCAAAACCATGCCTATCATCCACAGTCTACCCTGCCACTGGCATATTCCTCAGCATCATCATGAGGGGCCTGCTATGGAGACATCTGCCCACTCCAGATCTCACCCTCCCACACAGGATCTATCTGTGTCCCCCAGCCATGCAGACACATACCCACAATAGATGACCACGCTGAATTGTCATCCTTGGGCTTGTAGAAGAGCTTGATGGAGGTGATGGGTCCATCACCAGAGAAGCTGTCCACAGGTGACACCACGAGCTGGCGACTCTGCTTGGCCAACAGCCGGGGGGCACTCAAGGGCACTGGTGGCACTTGGGGGAAGAAGGGAATAACACTGGTGGGAGCAACAAGGAGCAGAGTGTGGATACACCTGCCACCTCTTGGCTCCTTCCAGCTTTATCAGGAAAGTCTTTTATAATCACCCAAACCTGTCTGCTGGCACTGCAGCCCACGATGGGAGGCACCCAGTCTGGCACAGGAGTGGTATTGCCACACCATGCTGGCAGCCTCCCCCAGCAACCCTATCGTGTCCTGCTCATGCCACCATGCTTTCCTCACCTCGGATATTGACCTTGACTTTCCGGCTGTCCTGGCCCCCAGTGGTGGAGACCCGGCACTCCCAGAGCCCCGTGTCTGCCTTTGTCAGGTGCCGCACCTCAAACTCGCAGGTGATCTGCTTTGGCTCAATGATGGTTTTGATGACCTGTGGCACAGAGGGTGCTGTCAGCCCCTCCACTCAGCCCCTGGCTCAGCCCCTCATCAGTCTGACACTGCCCAGCAGTCCCAGTACTCTTGAGGGAACTGTCAACATGGAGATGGTGGTGGGGCAAGGGTACAGGGCAGTACCTTGAGCACAGTGCCGTCAGCCTTGCGCAGCTCCACGCTGTCCCTGGTGGGCAGTGGGTTGCCAATGGCCACGCAGCTGATGATGGGCTCTGAGCCCAGGTTGAACTCCAGCTCTGAGGCCAGTTGGATGATCTGGGGGAACCGGTCTGGTACACAGAATCAACATTAGGTCTGGCCCTGCTCCTCCCCAGGCACAAGAAAGTCTGGCACCTTTTGTTGGACCTAGATATGGCCAGACTGTGGTGCCAAGGGATACTGTGGTCCCCTGTGTGCCCTGATCCCTCCCCCACATACTGGGCTCAGCAACCCTCTCAGCACAGATAATGCTGGGATGCCAGACCAGATGTTGCCCTTGCAATGTCCTGGTTTCCGCAGACTTGGAGGCTATTTCTGCAGGCAAGGGGTCCTGCCGAACCAGTTGAGGGTGGGGGATGGAAATCCGCCATAGCCCTGTGCCAGTCTCACCTGATTTCTCACAGTGCTGCCCATGCCAGCCTGCAGGGCAGACACAGCCACTGAAGCGGTTACAGCTGCCTCCGTTTTGGCAGGTGCACTTCAGGGCACAGTCAGGGCCATAGAATCCTGAGGGACAGGCTGTGGGAAGAGGAGAGCTCGCTGCTACCCCTGGCCATGGCACAGGACCACAGAGGCAGCAAGCAGCTGATGCAGGCAGCAGTACTGCTCAGCCTGTGCCGACCCTCAGATGCAGAGAGGTCTGCAGAGGTGCTGCTGGAGAGCAGCCAGACCCTGAAGGAAGCTCAGGGTGGATGGGAGAGCTGATGAACACCCATGTCCCTGTACCTTGGTCACAGCGGGAGCCACTCCAGCCCGAGGCGCAGGAGCAGCCGTAGGGATCGAGCAGACAGAAGCTCAGCCCCCGGCAGCCCTGGGCTCTCTGGCACGTCTCCTGGCAGTTGCGGCCAAACTGGCCTTCCTGGCAGGCTGGAAAAACAAGCATAGTCTGCCCTCACTCACCATTCGTCCATGCACTTACTGCTTGTGCATGGCACAGAACTGGCTGGGGTGCCCCAAGCCCTGTATCACCACCTCGAGGAGACATGGGACCCATGTGAGTGGTCCAGTCCTGGCCCAGGAACAGAGTGCACTGAGGGTAGGGAGGCACTGGGGATGAACACAGCATTTCTAGACAGAGTGTTCAGGTCTAGAGGTGCAAGAGAGTCCCCACAGATGCCCTGGGCAGAGCACCCATTGCTGGGCAGGTGGAACCCACCTCTCTCACAGCGGGTGCCCATGAACCCTGGAGGGCAGATGCATTCACCAACGTGGTCGTGGCAGATGCCGCCGTTCAGACAGTCGGGACAGTCCTTCTCACAGGACGGTCCCCATTTCTTTGCAGGGCAGGCTGCAGAGAGAGCAGAGGGAGCCAGAGTGCCATGTGCCACAGGGCAGGGTATGGCTGTCCTCAGTCCCCAGGCAGCCAGGGCAGCTCACCTCTCACAATGAGGCGGTAGAAGGCACTCCACAGAGGGCTGTCCCCCATGAATGTTGCACTGTAGACACCGTTTTCGCTGACACTGACATTGGGGAGTGTCAGGACGACGTGGTCATCCTGCACCTCACCCCGGTCCGTGGTCTGGTAGTAAGTGCCTGCAAGGGGACAGAGGGTTATCTGTGACCTCCCATGCCCCCAGGACCAGCACCAGGCACCGGCTGGGAGCAGCTCCAGCCCTGTGTCTGCTCCTGGAACTACTTGCCGTTTCTTTTCCACATGACATCTGTCTCCTTCCTCTTGAGGATCCTGGCAGAGAAGGTGGCCGCCTCAGCAACATTCACAGACTGTGTGGCCTTCACTGGAAAGAGGTGGGCTGCAGAGGAGGAGGAGGCACATGTTGCACAGCAGTCACCCCGAGGGCACTCACACCTGAGGGCAGTGCTAACACCCTCAGACCAGTCACACCAGGACATACCCTGGCACAGCCTAGCACCCACCTCATGTTTCTGCTGGAATGTCATGACACATCTCCCTGTCTGCTCCATGTTAGACCCAGGACCCCCCAAGCCTAGACCCAGGACCCCCCAAGCCTCTGCAGGGACAGGGCGCCCTTCCTAGTTCCTTCAGCCCCTTCAGGCAGACACCAAGGAATGGGATTTGGCACCCTGCCCTCTGACTAGCCCCCCATCTGCACAGGATGCAGCAGTCTGGGGAGATGACATCTGGAAGAAGTGTGCATGGTGCACTCTGCCTGGTGGTGAGGTGTGGAATGCTGCAGGCAGGGAAAGAAGGGCAGATGAGGGGAATTAAGTGTGCAGAGGGCTGCACTCCAGCCCCCAGGACCAGCATGGTCATGACTGTTTTCCTGATTCCCCAGGTGCTGGGGCTTGCAGCAGCAATGAACTCCCGGAGTATTAATATGAGTCAGCCAGACCCCAGTAAACAGGGCTATAAATACCTTAAGGCCTGAGAAACCAAGCCCTGGGTGTGCCAGGACAGACACAAAGGAGGACACAGGCGGCTGCTGGCTTTTGGAGCCTGGCAGTTCTCCAGCATGCACACACTAAAAGAAGCCACGCCAAGTTGGAGCTAAAACATATCCAGCCCTGTGTCCTGCCCCTCTGAGGCCAAGGACCAGGAGGAAGCAGCACATGTCGCAGACGCCCAGAGAAGGGCACGGCAGGTCACACTTGGCAGTAATTTCCCAGAATCTCCTCCCCACCTAACCCTCTAGTTGGAATCTTTCTTTCATGGACTTTGAAGCCCCCAGTGGTGGCCTCACAGATATGGCACTCACTCTGTTTCACTCCACCTCACTCCCTGGAGTGACAATTCCCTGGAGACGCCCAAACACAAAGCTTTGCATTTGCGCACACCGATTTATCTGTTACCCCATCACTGCCCTCCCAGACTGCATCTCTCCCATCTCTCTGTCACTCCATAGTGCATTCATCATCTCCCCAGGCAGCTCGAGGACAGCAGCCAGCATGGCTGTTTGTTCAGCTCTTTGCACCCACAGTTGGTGACACAGGTCCGTGTAAAGACCTTGTGCCATGCCAGTGAGAACTCCCTCATGTGACAAGGATTGCTCCTATTCCTACTCTCCATTCTTTTAGTCAGTTATTTACCCATGCAAAGATCTCTCCTGCCACCCTCTGGGTGCAAAGTTTCTCTCAAAGAACCTTTGAAAGGGAGTTTTCCCAGTTTTCCCCAGGAATCTGAGCAGACAGTATCAATTTGGTCTTCCACAGCAGCCTCACTGCTGCCGCCCCAGAGACCCTACACTGCAAATTCAGCTGCCTCTTTCTCAGGGACCACACAACCACATATTCTGCTCTTTATTGCAGTTTCTGCTAATTTGCCAGGTTCTGACTTGAGTTTTCAGGCCTATAATTCCCTATCCAGAAGTTTTAGGAAATTCTGGTTTCTCAAGGGCAGCAACACAGCCTTGCTCACTGCACTCAGCCTAGCAATGTCGTGTTGCTCCTTTCTGCTATTCATCACCTGTCTTCTGCTATCAACAGTGGCATTTTAGACCCCCAGCAAATTTTCCCAACTTTTCTGTTGTGCACACAGATACAAAAATTGCAAAAATGTTGGTTTTCTGTAGTTGTTTTTCTGAGTGTCTTTCTGGATAGTGTAAAAGATAGTTTACTGAAAGATTTAAACACTTTTGAAATTGCTTCTCAGTATCTCTTTGGTTTGCTTTACTTTGTTTTTTAGCAATGCTTCCAAAATTTATCAAACTTCCTAAGTTCTTCTCCATGCATGACCTTTTGGGAGCTGCCAGCTTTTCTCTAAGAGCATTCCCCACCCACTGTTTCATTGCCCTGGCCTGCTCTCAGGCTAAACAGGAGAGATGACACACACCAAGCCCCTTCAGTGGGTTCTGTATCCAGCCCTCCTGCAAATATGTACATTTTTTGCTTACTAATTCCTTTTTTTTTTAACTTCTCCTCTGAACAGAGCAATAGCATGTTCTTTGGAATAAGTGAAAGAGACACCTTTTTGGCACTTGTGACTCCCACAGGAGCTTGCACCCAGGCACTGACCAGCTCCTCCAAAACATTATTTTAGCCTGGCTAAGTGGACCCAGGAGTCGGGGCTAACTGAGAACCACCATGGGAAACACTGCCCCAAGGATGGAGCCCCAGAGCCATCACCTCCATCCATGATTTATAAACAAGGACATCTGAGGATGCAGAAATCCCTTTGTGCTCCTCACCCCCCACTGCTGGTCGTGCCTCTCACACTGTCTCCATTGCCTCTCTTCCATTCCTCAGTGCTTGCTCAGATCATCCAGCTCTGTTTCCAATAGGACCACTGTCATTTTACAGCTTGAGCCTCTTTACAAGGACAAAAGCTGAGCTCTGCTCCCTGGGGGATGCTTGGGCCCCACCAGCAGCCTTTGTGCCCCAGCTTGGAGACACTCGATCTCCTTGCTGAAGCTGTGTCTTAACACAGACAGGGAAACTTGTATCTCCTCCTCTTATTCTCAGCAAAAGCTAGACTTTCTAAAAAAGAGCTAGAAAGCATCCTGAGGCAAACATCACAGAAAATTTCAGTCCTAACAGTTTTGCAAAGTCTCAAGCACAGGGAGGGGAGGTCTGGGGGGCAGTGTGGGAGAGTGTTGCCCCACATGGTGTCCCTGCTGCTGGTCAGCCCAGGGAGGCCCTTCTGATTCTTATGGCCCAAAATAGGAGTGGGAGACAAGCCCAGCACTTTTCTTGGCTACAGTGAAGTCTGGCAGTGCCTCTCAGCAAGCCCCACTGCTGGAACAGTGACGTGCTGCCCTGGGATGGTGTTTGTCCAGCATCTGGGGAGGTTGCCAAACATCTGCCCCAGCACTACCTCCTCCCCTTGAGCCTTGGTGGGGGCTTGGGCTGGCACAGGTCCGAAGGGCTGCCCCCTGCTCTGGTTAATGATTTCCAGACTCCACAACCTCCTCCAAGGGCACTCAACTTCCTCTTGGACCTTGCCCTTCTCCCAGGCACCATTACAAATTTAGATGGCTCTTCCATGGGGCTCAGCCATACTCCTCCAGCTGAACATCCCTTCCATCTCCACCCCACCGGTGCTGTTGGACCCCAAACCTAGCTTATGGGTCACTACTGTCCCCCCACGACCCTGGCTGGTGCTGGGATTGTGAAGCACAGGGCAGGCAGGTCCCCTGTGCACCTGACTGGCAGGCGGGGGCCTCCTGCTGTCCCCAAAAGCCACTCACCATTGTGGCTGTTGTGCACATAGACCACCTGGGCCTGCTCGGTTGGGGTGCGCCCCAGGCAGTAGAGGATCCCCACCAGGTCGGCCTTGGAGAAGCCCCTGGCCTGGACTTGGTTGCTGCGGTTGCGGTAGTTCTGGAAGCCCATTTTGGGGTGCGTCATCACGATCTTGTTCTCCCGCTCGATCTGCAGGTAGCTCACGTCGCGCTCCCCCATGACACAGGAGAGGAAGAAGTCGGAGTGGGACAGGCTCTGCACGTTGGCAATCAGGGTGATGTCCAGGATGGCCCCTGGGGTGAGGGAGCACAAGAGTGCGTCACAGCTGGGCAAGAGCATGGCCACACCAGCCCTGCCTTAGGGCCAGATGCTGTCACCTAGATGTCTACCCCTTTCCGGGACATTTTTGCCACCCCCAGCCCAGAAGGCACAGCTGGGGCAAAGCAAGGTGCGTGGCAGATGCATTGGGATGCCACAGTGTGCATCTCTGCTCTGCTTTTGGAGACCCCAGCTGGATCAGCTTCCCAGCATGAGCCAAGCATGCATCAGAATGGGGGTCTTGGGGAGCCTTTCCTTCCCTGTCAGAGAGAGGGAGCCAGGGGCCTCTGAGGGCTCCAAATGGCTGATCACAAAGGGATATTTCCTCCCTCCCAACCCTGCTCCGATGGCGCCAATGAGCTTCCACAGCTGCCTCATCCCACCAAACCACCCTGAGGCAGGGGCTGCTCACTTGGGCCAGATGAAAAGGAGCAATTTACCTGCCAGATGTGGGAAGAGAAGTAGAAGATACACGTGGAGTCCCATATCCTTGGAGCTTGTTCCAAAGCTGGCAGAGGTCAGAAAATCCCCAGCATTTCCTGGCTGTGGGGGGTCAGAGCTGGAGGTTGTGGCTGCCTAGGAGCTCCATGAGAGCGGCAGCTCAGGACAGCCGCTCCCTGCCCGTGTTCCCCATCTCTTCTCCATGCTGTTGCTTGACTTGCAGGGCGGCTGGGACCACCTCCTGTGGTGCATAGCCTGGGCACGGACAAAGAGATGCCCCTGTTTCTGCTGGCTCAGTGGCCAGCCGGCTGCTCAGGAATAGGGCGTGCTGGCCAAGGGGCCACTGAGGTCCCCTGCCTGGTGGCAGCTCTTCCAGGGAAAGGCACCCGCCCACCCCTGCAGGGCTAGGGCTGCGTGCTCAGGGCTCCCTGAGCCATGCTGAGCCCCTAGCCCAGGCAGGAGGTGTCCTGACCCTGCTTTTCGTCCGAGGTTCGGAGTGCCTCATGCCCCAGCCCGCCCGGGCAGCGGCATCTCCATCCCTTCGGTGCAGCCCCGTGGCTGATGGCTGTGGGAAGGGCTCTCTGGAGCAGGGAAAGGAAGGGGGCCAAGGGGCCGTGGCTGGCGGCGGCGGCGGAGCCAAATCCTGTTTCCCATGCGGCGTTTCCTGCTCTCCACCCATTGTTTGGAGACAGCCCTGACTCCAGGAGCCGTCGGGAGCAGCCCTGCACAGGCTGTCCCCCAGGGAGCGGCGTGCGGCGAGGCTGAGGCCGCACACACCTCGGGACACCGCGGGCCTGCCTCCGCCACGAGCCAGGGTGCGAGGCATGGCCCATCTGGGGTGCAAGGCATGGCCCACCTGGGCTCCAGTGTATGGCCCACCCGGGCTCTGGGGCATGGCCCACCTGGGCTCCGGGTTGTGCCCGGCCCTGACTCATCCTGCAGCAGCCCAGCGTGGGGACACTGCCCAGGTTGAAAGGGGTTGAGTGGGAGCACAGGAAGAGCTGCCCAGCTCACATGGGAAGGTGGACACTGCCTGGGAAGAAAACCCTCTGTGTTGTGGTAAACATGTCTAGGGGGAAGTGGAAGCAGCAGAAAGCTCCTGGCTTTCCCTGAGCACTTTCCCATGCACAGTGCTGGCATGGGCACAGCATGGCATGGCCTTGCTACAACCCAGAGTGTCTCATACCCGGCATGGAGGCTGTGCAAGCTGCCAGCAGGCTCCAGGATCTTTGCTTGGCAAACAAAAAGCATTCTCCAGGAAATCACCACAAGCTTCACGCACCAAACCTCACACTGCTTCACAAATCTAACTGTTCCCATGTGAAAGCCAGGGCTGCCAGGGAGTGAGTCTCATGTTTTGATGTGTCCTAAGCCCATGCTGTATCCGGCCAAAAATCTAAAGCACACATGGAGAGGAAAGGGAAATCCATTCATCGCTTCCGACTATTTACAGAGTGCTCTGGGGCCTCGCAGTGCCCATGGCATGCAGAGGGAGGGATGGCAGTGAGCACCCACAGTGCAGCTGCCTGGCCACCTCATGGCAGGAGGGGTGGGGAGGATCTGGAAAAGCTGGACACCAGGCACAGCTGCCCTCATTTGCCTGGAAAATGAAGCTGGCTGTAGAGGCCAGTCAGGCTCTGTGTGCTTACATGCACAACTCATTCTTGTGATTCCTTGGCGGCTGTGGGGGAGCGCATTACACAGACCCCAGGTTACAGTGCACTCTGTGAAATGTCCTCTTTCAGAATTTTTGCGGAATGGGAGCCATATGGGGTCATTCTCTGCACCAGGCCATACCCAGGAGATCTCAGGGATCCATTGAGGAATCTGACCCAACGTGATTTGTTCACTTGTGTTTTTTTCTTGGAGCACCTGGGTAAGAGCTGTGCTGTCTATCTGTGCAGATTCTTTTGGCTGGAGGTAGGGTAGGAAACCTTTCTGGGGGGGTTTTGTGGGGATGCCCAGCCAGGACCTTACAGCTCCAGTTTATCTGTCTCCAGAGAAGGCACCAGAGACATAGGCACAGCTGAGTACAGCCAAAGGACCTCTCCACACTTGCTCTCCTGCAACATGGAAATCTCCAGTTGCCCAATCCACAGGACACTACAAGCACCTGAATATCTACTGAGTTCACGGACCTCAGCTTTTTTGCTGAATCACAACAGACTAAAAAAAACAAAAAACCAACGACTGACAAAAATATCACTTTTTGTTATCATTTGCACATTCTAATGCACAGCACCACATTCCAGAAACCATAATGCACAGATACATTTCCTGATAGGAAATGCAACCGCCCTACAGATCCATCAATGGACAGGGCTGCCTCAGCAACATTTTCTAGCCCTGCTTCTCTGGATGCTTGTTTTGTTTCACCTGCTCAGTGGGTCCTGGGGAGACTCCACAAGACTGGGTTAAGGACTGATCCCACCAGGCATAGGAACATCCTGGAAGCAAGGTAGTTGAGCATCCCCAGCCCACCTGGGCAGCTGGGAAGCAGAAGCTGCCTGCTGCATTGGCATCCAGCACATGCCCACAGGATGAAGGACAGGCTGCTGGGAGGCCTTTTCCCTGAGGAAAGGGTAGGACATGAGGCTGTGGAGGAGCCCTTTGGCAGCTGGGGGAAGAGGGGCTGTCCTGTCCACGTTACAGACAGCTCCAAAGTGCCCTTGCTGGCAATCAGCTTCCTGTTGTTTGAGCAGGCATGGGACTAGGGAATGGGGAGCAGAGAAGACAGCCAGGGGCTCCCTCTTGCTACAGAGGCGAAGCCAGGAGCAAGTGCAGCCAGCAGTTTCCCTGCCTGGCCTGTGGCTCTGCCAGCCTTGCCCACTTACCCACCTCATCACCTGTAAGCTCAGGAGCAGGTGTGGTATGCCAGAAAACACCCATGAGATGCTGCTCTGACATGATTTCTCAGACTTTCACTGACCCCACGGCAGGGCTGGCAGGGAGAACTGCTGTTAAGTGGCAGGTCCGCATGGGGGTGCTGAAAGCGATGGGGCACCCCCGTCCTCTGGGACTCGCACAGACAGATGCTGCTCACTGAGCTGCTGCTGCTGGGCCCAGAGACCTGCCAGTTTGCTGCATGCTTTAAACACCTTTCTGCTGAAATCCCAGCAAGACCTTTATTTTCCTGTAGGATGCTTTCCTGCTGCCTCAGTCCCAGCTTCCCCAGCCAGGGCTGGCTGTGTGTCCCTATCCCAGGCGTGTGGACCAACACCTGGCCCAGGCTCAGTCTGCTCTCCTGCAGATGCCGCAGAGGTGCCCCCTCCTCCCTCTGGCAGCCCCACGGCACCTCTCGGTGTCCTGCTGCCACTCGGGCAGCCCCAGGCACCCCACAGCCAGCAGGCAGTCCGGGGCAGCGAACACGGGCGGCCACACGGGTGGGAGGTGATGGGGCGCGGCTGTTAATGTGTAACTGGCACCGCCACCTTTCACCAGCCCGGGAGGAGCGGGGACGGGCGGCAGCGGGGCCGGGCGGCAGCCGGGCCGGGCCGGGTTCCGGGCGCTGCTGGCTGCGGGACCGGCTGTGGGGACTCGGTGCGGTCTGAGCCGTGCGGCCGCGGCCACACCTCGCCCGGCACGGCCGGCTCTGCCGGTTCCCAGCTTTCCCCGAGACTTGTTTTTCTGGCCGGAAGTTTCCTGGAGCTAAATGGCTCCTATCTGCCTGCTCTGCTGGGTCTGCAGCCTCCTCTGCGTCTGGTCAGTGGTCATGGGACACCCCTGCGGCCTTGATCACCAGGTATGGGGGCCGTGAGGGCTGCGGTGCGGGCAGGGCTGGGGTGGGCAGGGCCCCTTCTCCTGGTCCTGCCAGCACAGCTGGGGTGCCCAGGGGCAGCAGGGCCTGGCAGGCAGCTCCTGCTCTGCCCTGCTCGAGAGAAGATGAGCGATGAAAATCCATGGGAGCCAGCAGAGTTAATTGCAAGATGTGCTGTGCCAGTGGCCACCAGCCATAGGGGTGGTTCGCCCATGACCAAAGCCTGGCTGTCCTGCTCCCAGCCTTGGGCTGAACATGTCATGTTGTCCAGTCTGTTCACCAGAGCATGGCCTGGCAAAGCGTTTTCTGATCCATGGCATTTCTGACTGTGGGGGTCTCTTGGCTGCAGGTGTAACACAGCTGCCCATAAAGGGTGCATGGCAAGCAGCCATGAGACACATCCCTGAGGAGGTCCCAACCCCTCACTCCCTTCCCCAGTGCATGGTGATACAGTGACTGGAGTCAGGGTGATGGCAAGCATGAGGCCAGGATCCCTGAGCGCCCAGCAAGGAGCAGGAAACACAACTAACCCACTGGGACAAGCACTGCAGCTGGCAGCTTGGCTGATCAGGCAGGAGCTGAGAGAATGAAGGAAAGTGGCTGTCATGGGCCACTGACCTTTCAACTGAGGTCTCAGTTATTCCACCCAAAGGTGGAATAACTGAGAGCTCAGTGGAACTGTTTTCCAAAGCCTCCCTGAGCCCAGCTGTGATTGATCTGAAAACAGGACCCCTGTGGCCCAATTATAACCCAGTCCTCAGCACCCAGGTTTTTAAAGGCATATCTATTCCTGTACCAAGCAGGAATAGCAAGGTCTGATAGGAGATTTAGGTGGACAGGAGAATGAAAGGAGAGGTGAAAGAAATGGAAAGCCCAGCTAGCTGGAATGTCACCAGACGCAGAAACCCGGGACTATGGACCACAGCAAACTTAAAGCATAGCATCTATGCTTGCAAGGTCCAAACGCAGCACTTAGCAGGAGCTTGTGCCTGCACAAACCAAACTTAAATTGCTGACCTGCTCTCTGGCAGCTTCAGTTTGGACATTTGACACTCTCCTACTGAAAGTCCAGGCAAGAGCAACCCATGTGGGGGACTGCTCCCCAAAACTATCTGAGTTGGAGCACCCTGTTTACTGGTAAAAAAAATAAATAAATCCATCCATGTGGGTTGACTGATCCTTCTATCCTGCTCTGCTGATCTTTTGGGACAGTGAATGATCCTTGGTCTGTTTTATTTCCTAATACTGACACAGCCAGCCAGCAGTAAGCCACAGCTACTCACCATGTATCCTCAGGAATGTGGGATAGATTGGTGCATTGGTGCACTATCCTGCACAGCCCCAGGGAGCTGCTTCTGGCACGGGTGACTGGTACAGGTGCCTAAAGCTCTGCAGCCTGGTCAACTTCCTGCCTGCCCTTGCAACAGGCAGGGCTCGCCTGCTTCCCTGCTCCAGCTGGGAGGATGCCCCTGTGTCATACAAGAGCTCCCTGGGGGCTGGAGGTGGGGAGCCACGGGAGGAAAAGGAAGTCCCTCTGCAAACTGACCCTCTATGACAACTCCCCTGTACGGAAGGACAGGGGGGTGACAACCTGCTGCCTTTGCACTCACCCATTTGGGTTTTTCCCTCAGCCCTGCATGCTCTCCTTTACTGTTTCAGTCAGCTGCTCTCAGTCCTGGCCTGTCCTGCTCATCTTTCTCCATTTATCCAGGCCCACTGCAATCTGTCAGGTCATGTGTTTTTTAAACGTGTGTATGTTTTTGCTTTTTTAAAACTCTGCAAGGGTGATTAAGACATTTGACCCCTTGGAGAGTCTCTCTCATGACTC